AAGTCTGTGGCGTTATGGTTCTAAAGGTCTACTAAGTTTTGCTCTGAAAGTTGGTATCAGCGCTTTAGTGACTGTCACTGGTGGTATCATTGTCGCATCAGTGGTTGCCTTCAACTCAGACTGTAACGACAGCCAGTCAAGCTATGTATGCAGCCTGCTAACGTCATTCTGCTACATCAGCCACGCAGTACCCCCTCCCTTCTAAATAGCTTTAGCTCAATTATTTGTTTATAAATATAAATGATCAATATAATGTGAGATTTATTGATCATTTATATTTATAAATGAAGAGGCGGCTTGATGCTCCCAAGCCAGTACGGGTTTACGCCGGGTGCTCCCGTTTTTTCCCGCAGACGCACGCATCATAAAAAAAATGACCAGAGTGATGAGAGCTCTGCTAAGAGAACTCCTTAAGAACAGAGCGATTAGAGCTTTCCAGAGTCCTCGCTTGCTGAGGCTCGGGGACCAGAAGTTTGCTGAGGGGGCTGCAGCACCCCCATCTGCGAGGCTCCACTAGGGGGACCTTTAAAGTGGAGGGCTGTGCAAAATATAGTCAGAGAGCATGAACATGGCTCACAGTATTAAGAAAACAAGATGTGCATTAGTGCATAATGATTCTGGGATTGTGGGTTTGTGTGAAGCGGAAGGACTCACCAGCAGTGACTGGGGAGTCACACTGAGTGATAGTTTGACACTTGTAATTGTTTGTAATTGTTATTTGTTAACCTGTTAAGCCCCAAGCCTGTTTTTCAGGTCTCAGGCTCGAAAATGACATTCCCAGAACAAATGACAATAGCTTCCCTTCTAAAAGGGGTAAATTAATAATCTTTTTTCTCAAAGCAATGATAAACCTGTGAGTTGGATGTAGAAAAGTCAGAATCAATATAGATTATTTTTTATTTTAAAGTAAATTCAGATTAAACATAGTAAAAAAATTAAATTATAGTGTCCGTCCAAAAATAAACCATTACTTATAGTGAAAACTACCCTTGAATGATGGGATAGTAGACTAAAAGCTTTAGGAATCCAAACTATAACATATAATAAGTACCCTGTATCAAGATTGATGCAAAACAAGTGACATTTGACCTTTTTAGAGAGATTTAGCAACAAAGAAAACACCTCTGGGGTCATTTGGGTGGAAATGGGTCTATTTGCCGTTTCTCTGGAACCCATTGGTCGATTTTGATGATTGACATATTTTGAACCGTTAGAGCCAATAGAATCGAAGGGGGATTTCCACATACACACACGTTACCATTGAGAAATGGGGGCTATGCGCACGCAGTTTGCCCAAAGCAAAACCTATCTTACACTCTGAAATCTGAAAACTGAAAACTAGGTTTATTGCTGATGGATTATCAGAAATAATTTCAAAGTGAGGCAGACACATTGGATTAACCTATGGATTAACCTTCAGCAGCGTTTTTATCGTTTTAATGCCATTGAAGACAACTTTTGATCAGAAAACAACAAAGGTAAGACATATTGCCGTGTTGGCTAATGCTACGTGGTGTGATGTCTTTGTTAGCTTCTCATGTCGCGAGTTCGGATCGGTCAGTAATGACACTAATACCTGTTGAATCTGTGCAATCTCCAGTGGCGACTGGTCATTAGGGGCACAGCCCCACCTAGTGTCAGCAGAAAGTATTCAAAATAATGATTACAAAAAAAAAAATATATATATATATATATAAAATATATTTTAAGATCATGTTTAATCATCTGATTCGTCTGTACATTGCTGTTTTAGTCTGTGTTCTTCTAATTAGTGTCTACAGTGTGTGCCTATTGAGCTGTTTTGAGCCATGTGGGACAAAACCCGATCATGCCCCTCCCTCTCACTGTCTAAGTGAATGGTGACTGTAAAAACTACACTGCGCATGCTCAGAGTATTTTCCTATTTAATGGGTGTTTCTCAATCGCGAATAAAGCTGCTTCAGAGCCACTATTTCAAGCATACTACGTCATCGAGTGCCGCCGAAGTACTGTTCCAATCTCCAGCATACTTGGAAATCTACCGAGCCCGGCGTACTCCGTTTGGAGAAATATCGAGGCTGCACATGAGTAGACTCCGCGGTCTTAAAATCCCCACAATGCTTTGCGCACGGACCAATTTCCCCAAATCTGTGGCGGAAGATGTAAGGCGGGGCCTCTCATATGACGCACACCTGCACACTTGCTAGCGTGTTCCACTCTTCGTTTTCCGGATGCCAGGAAGTATTCTTGACTCGCTTCTGAAGCAAGATGCTCGGCAGACATGTGCTACCAAGCAAGCGGTACTCGCGATTGAGAAACACCCAATGTGTGTGGCAAAAAAATAATGACCATAGGGGCACTGAGCTGCCATCCCCACCATACGTCATCTCACATAATTCAGAGCTGATTGGCAGTAAGTACGTGTGCCGCGAAAAGTGTGGTGTGTGAAGAGGAGACGAGAGAGGTGCAGTGACGCGTCCTAAAACCAGGAAGTACTGTAAGCTGCGCATGGCTTCCCTCGACAAAAAAGCAATGAGATTTCTCCATAGGATTTTAGAAAATAGCTCGAAATAAGATCTGTGGGAAACGTACCTGTTAGATAAATGCACGTTTTGTTCACCCGGATAATATCCACATGTCTACCCTACTTTTATAATTTTCGAATTCGACTTTTGATTTGATTTTGATTCGACTTTTGAAACTACAAGAAGATAAGGAGGACTTTTACAAAAAAGTAACAGAAATTTTTGACCAGAAGGATAGGCAAATGGACTTCATCTTCAAGTCAAGGTAAGACCACAATTTTATTGAAAATGGGATCTTACTAAGAGAGAACAATTCAATATTTAAATGATAACATTACATTTTTTGGGTAGGCTATCCTTTTGTTGAACTGTCTGTTTAAAATTAATCGAAGCATCAGACTAAAAAAGCTTTTGAAAATAATATTATATTTTGATTTAGGTCAACCTGAAGAGTCAGTGCCAGTGCCTCACCAGCCATGAACCTCACTGCACGTCACTGCAGAAGCTTATATAGACATCTAAGTTTTTTGTGCCCCACCACTTTTGTACATATAAAAACGCCACTATCTCAGTTTGCTAATTCATATCTTGTTTGTGCAGATACGATAAGTAATAAGGGTATTTTAACGTGAGTTCTGTGGTGTGTTAGCATTTTTTCGCTCAGGGCTAATTCAGAGCCTTTGTTATTACCCTTATGTTTCGTTTTGCAAAAAATTGTTAATATTGTCTGATAGCTGAGTTTCTTCCCGTTAAGTGGCTATGACACTTTAATAGGTTTTTAAATGTTAAGAAGCCCTCAGACGCTGTTTCTTGCAGATGTTGCGATTTTGTTGGGGTTTAACAGGTTTTAAATTAAGATTAATTGAAGTTTCAAGATTGCCTATAATACGTTAAAAAAATTGTAAAGATCTAGGCTCTGGCCTCATCACTCCAACATTGAGGACTGATGATTAAACACCTATCCCCATGGAGCATACAAGCGGCTGCTGGGGTTGATCACATGTCCCTTCCCACTCCAACCACTAGATGGTAGACTTTACTTACTCAAAAGTAATATGTTATTTTTCAAAACCTCCTCAGTTTAATTTAAGTAACAATGCTATTATAATATTGCTTTCAACTAACCTAATACAATTATGTGTAATCTGTTTACATAATATCTTTATTTATGTCAACAATTCAAATTGTGTATTTCACTCCATTGCTTTTCATTATCTTTAATAACAATTGGATAATTGAAGCATGTAAGTCTTGCTGGTTGTATTGTTTTGTTATTTTGAAATTATATTGGTTTATTTATTTGTATTAATATGTTTAATGCATTTAATGTAATAATTCCTTAAATATCAAATTTCCATGCCATAGTATACTTACTATAAAAGGCAGCTCCATTAATGTTTCTTGTAATGGAGCTGTGATATTTGTGATACAAAGGACTTTATTTATTGAGGGTCTCCTCTAGGGATTGAGCTCACAGTTTATTCATGAAGTGCATAAACAGCTGGAGTAAAAGCACCAACAGCCATAGCTGAACCAGACGCTCATGGTTCAGGCCCACACCATCCTGCCTGCTGTTTACATTTTAAAATCTCCCTGAAATACTGCATTTTTGACTATCTTGAAAGAAGGTACCTCACTCTGATAAACGTTGAGTTTCCCTCTGCTGGCAAAACAGTCATTTCAGGGAATTGCCCATCAGTGTCAGATGGTAACAGATTAGTATTGTGGCTGTTATTAAATTTGATTGCAACATTTATGACTTCTGTCACTCCCTCAGAAATACAGAAATTGTAATTATCAGTCATGGAAAAATTGGCAGTGTAAACCTGGAGCTTGACGGTTCTGTCTTAGGTTTCACCTGCTCCCATTTTACACCACAGCAGTCCAGCTTCTCCTCAATGCAACTTGTCAAGCTCATGCATATTTAACTGTCTGGGCTGCTATCAGATGAACCTAACCAGCAGAAGGGGTGGTGCTGCGGAGATGATGTAGATGTGTAAAGCGAGGGGGCTGGGTTTTAAGAGAACCAGCTCCACCTGCCCCTCCTCACCACGAGTGGATGCATTATGAGATGAAGACAGGATATAGACAAAAGGAAGCTCACATGATCTAGAGACTGAAACCTGGATCTACACTTTCATTTGCTCTCCTCGTTCTACACCAGTCTTTCTCTAAACTGGATCTTAAGAAGATGAAACAAGTTCCTGAAACTCTGGCTGTTTGGTACTTTGGACATTGAGGAATACTTCAGCCTTCTCTTCACTTCTCCACTGAATCCTCACTCCAGATCAAAGTGGAGAGGAAAAGCCTGTCTTCCCTCTGAGGGACCCGTGGCCCCGCGGGAAGGTGGAGCCAACCCCCCGGTGCCAAAAGCTCAGCAAGGATGATGAACAGCATCTAGTGGATTTTTCCCCTTTGTCAGAGCAGAGTCTGTTAGTGAGGTATCAAGACACTGTTTCCAGATAAAAGAGGAGAGGAAACAAAGACATTGAAAAAATGCCTTTTGGTGGGCTAGCAGGTTTGAAGGAACAGGTGCTTAAGCCTGGGAAGGAGGAAGTGAAAAACACAGTGGGGGACTCTCTAGGAAAACTGCAAAGGTGAGAGGGATTGTATGGAGAGCGATGGAAGGAGGCATTAGGACTGTGTGTGCAGGGTGTTGGGACTGCATGGAATAAGCATTTAACTCATTATCCATGTGTTTATTCACAGGGGATTCATATTTGTAATAATAACTCTGTAACTAAGAGGGAAATCTTTGCTGTCAGAGGGATGCGGAGAGCCTCGAAGAGAGCACATTGAGCCCAGCATGTTCTCTGAGATCCTGATGATAAATACATATTTGATTCTTGTGCTTTTCAGCCATTGCCAGTGATGTAATCACAGATTTTATTTTAAGACATTAATACATATTTTATATCTGATAAATATTTCACAGGGGGATGTGTTAGCCCCCATTCTGTAAGGTAGATTGTTCTCATTTTGAGAGATAAACGACCAAGTAGGCAATTTCCTGACAAATTAATTTTGTGTGTGTATCGTTACTCTACATGTACTTTCCTTATGCCTTAAAAAAAAGCATGGATGGGAATATTTGTAGTCATGTGTATTTATTATTTCAGATTTAAAAATATTATTTAAACAATATTCAGCTATATGTATCCAAAGAAGAGATTTGGTATGGGGTTCACACTAAAACAGCGTTGTCATGATCCAGCTCACTATCAATAAGCCTGCACTTTTCCAGAATCGAGATTAAGAACTTGTTGCTACAGTATGATGACATTTCCAAATGGCAGTTTTTAAAAACCAACAAAAACAGATTCATTTCAAATAATCAATAATCTCATCAGGATGCAGTTAATACTTTGTAAATGTGTTTAGTTTCTTGGGTTAGGTTATCCTGCTCCACCAAACACACACATATAATATTTAAAATAAAAGTCACATAAACAAAACATATAAAAACCAGACGTCCATACAGGTGTGCACAATTAAAGCCAAACTCTGGTTAATGCACCAATAGAAAAGATGTTATCTGGTTTTGAAAATTAAAACTTTAACCCATCTCTGTTATTTTTTAACATGTCAGCTTGTTGCTTATACTTTTGAGACTGGTTGCAGTGTAAGGGCATCGAACACCCCTAAGATAACTTCTGTATCTTAATGCAGTTCATACACATACCCACCATATTAACTATTCTTTCAAATAATCACATTTACATTACATTTTTTAATAGCCATGTATTGTTACAGAAAATATGACGCACCAGTAGTTACTTCTGTAAAGATGATAGGGATTTTCAAACTCTGGGTTTAAAAAAGTGCAGATTTGAGGGGTTGATATCGAAACGTGATCGCAGTTTCAGCTTAAATTGAGCCCTGCTCTTAGAGGAATGCAGTATAGCACTACAGCAGGCAGATGAGCAGGGGACGGAAAAAGAGATGGATTCTGGGCAGTGGAACAGGTGTGGAGAGTGATGCAGCTGAAGGCAACCCGATAACAGTGTCGTGATCTTTTCAGTCTTGTGTCATGCCTCCCCGCTCCTTACTCTGTAAGAGAGCCGAGACACTCATGTTACTGAGATGCCACATTTGATCAAAGGTACTGACAAAAGTGATCGTATTTTAAAATATTATATTGTGAAAATTGCACAAAATATGCTATATGTTTGTTTGAGTTGCAGCCATATTATGCTTTAATCACATGTAAGGTAAATGTTCAGCTATTCACTGTAAATGAACAAAGAACAGGGGAATTATGTATGAAGCAACATGTTCTAAAAAATACAGTGATGAGTGACCAGCAACAGTATGAAATAATCAAGTATACTTGACCTTATAAAATATTTAAAAAATATTTAAAAAATGTTATTGTTATAAAACAGTATGAATATTCATCAGTGCTTATAACTATAATGTTCAGTGACATTATTTCACATGATAAGTATGTTTATAATGCATTTTAAACTTGTTATTATTATGAGCTGAAGAGATAAGGAAGACCACTATGATCACATGTTCCTACTGTTACATACTCTTTATTTTCCTGCTACTTTTGACCTCTTAGGAAAATAGATGGTAGTAATGTAGAAGAAGAGGACCACATTGAACTGACAGACGATGGGCGTCCGGTGGCTTCAGCCCCGCGTCCTGCCCCGCTGCTGGACTGCTACTGTGGGGGTTTGCCCAAGCGCTACATCATCGCCATCCTCAGCGGCCTGGGCTTCTGCATCTCATTTGGCATCCGCTGCAACCTCGGTGTGGCCATTGTGGAGATGGTGAACAACAACACCGTCTACATCAACGGCACTCCTGTGATGCAGGTAGCTGCATGACATCACACAGGACCTGAGATATGAGGCCACAGGATTTTATTCTTGTTGATCTGAAGAGGCCTAACTTTATAATAAGCATCAATAAAACATTGTAAATTGAGTATTAGTAATCTTGTGTTGTACTAGACGTTTTTAAAACGACCAAATAATTTTATTAAATAGGCAAAACAGAATCTAAACCATTGACAAAGACTTAACTATTAAATACCATTTTACATGTTAAATAACACTTAAACCTCAAACCATTTAACACATTGTACAAATCATAGTGTTACAAATATCTGAAAAGCCATTTATGTGTGCTTACAGATGTTTTACAAATGATTTCCTGAAAGGTTTCAGAATCATTTTGTTATCATAAATAAAGACTATATTATAATGTGTGCCACAATTAACTTATAAACTAACATACATTATACTGTAGAATTGCTCTTATAATTATACCAAAGTAATTTACTGTTCAATGGAGGGTATTTCCATATTTTTGCTGTTCTATCAGTTTTCTTTCTTCCTCTCCAGAAAGCTCAGTTTAACTGGGACCCAGAGACAGTGGGGCTGATCCACGGCTCCTTCTTCTGGGGCTACATCGTCACTCAGATCCCCGGTGGTTTCATCTCCAACAAGCTGTTTGCCAACCGGTGACTATCAATGATTCCACTAAAACACTTAAACCTCGTTTGATGTCATTATACATTACATTTAAGACTGTTGATTGGAAAAGTAATTTGATGATGTTTTTGAGACACTTTCTACCATTCTCTGATATTTCATTAACCAAAGGATGAATTGATTATTAATCATTACATAAAGCTTTAATATTAAAGCACCTTTTATACAGATAACTACGGTTCAAAGTTCTGACAGTGATAACAACAGAAGAAACAAAAACAACCCAGTGATTTAACAGTTTGACAATTTGAAACCAATGCATAACAGACAATTAAATGATCCAAATGTATATGTAAGAGTATGTAATATGAGTAATATAAAAACTACATTATTAGAATAACAATAGATTCAAAACATTTATACAACATAAACACAGCCAAATAAGTGATTTATTAAATAATAATAAAATACAATAACACTTTATAACTTAAAAACTATTGAATGAAATAAACTGAAAATGTCTATAAACTATTTTTCCTCAAAGTTTGAAGATTTTAATACTCCCAGCAGATCTTAAATCCACAAGCACACTTTTTCATACAAATTAAGAATAAAAAGGTTATAATAAAAACGTATCATGTATTTTGTTGATTTATTTCCACGAGTAAGGCCATGTTTGCAGCAGCCCTGAGCACATTATGTTAAGAAACGCTCCAAGAAAGACTGAAAAGATCAATGTTTTAGGACAGAGCGCCTCCTCAGCCTGTGTGGGTAAAGGGTTAAAGCTGTACGGTGTGGTGAGCGGTGCTGATGGAGCAGATAGCAGTCCTGTAATAAAAGCTTCACAGGAAAAGAGGACACGCCACTGACAGAGTTAATAATGAAAGATCCTGCCTCTGATTTCTTTCTGAAACACCAGCCACTGGAATATTACAAGTGTCACTTACACACTGTTTTGGAAAAAGAGAAGGAAGGGGGGATGTGGTGAAGGAGAGAAGAGATGGGAGCTAAGCGGCACTGTGGTGATGAAGCAGAAACTTGCAGGTTGAATGGGATGTCTTTATCTCGGTGCATGAAAGGGAGAGGCGTGAGATCTGTCTCATTATAAGGCTGACTGAGATGCTTCGACCGTCAGATATTTGGAGATATGCTGCCAGCCAATATTAGACGTCTACAGTATAGCTTCCAGACACTGGGCAGCAGGTGTTTGTTTGTTGTGTGTAAACATGATGTGTAGACAGATCAGAAAAATCACAATATAAGTCAAGGTTATAATTCCCTGATAGTTTCTTAGGACATTCATGGAAGACGTTTGATTCTTAGAGGGAAAAATAGGGAATTAGTTCAGCTGACAAAAAGACGTCGATTACATTGGAAATTAATTGGAATTCATTTAAAGTGTAATCATTTAGCAGTCTCTGTATTTCCCCAATAATTTACCTTTTTCTTCCAAGAGAAGGACTAAATAATAAGGATGTAATCTAAGGGCTTTAGGTTCACATTGATGTTGCAATGCCGTCACTTAATACAAACACACACACACACTATGATGCAGTGACGTGCGGTGAGATTCATGGCTGGTGAGGCACTGACTCTTTCAGAGTCAGATTTACAAATATTATAGCCTATTTTGACCTTAATCGAAATATTCTGTTATTTTCAAAAGCTTTTTTAGTCTGATGCTATGATTAATTTTAAACAGACCGATCAACAAAAGGATACCCAAAATCTAAATATTGGATTGTTCTTTCTAAGTAAGATCCCATTTTCATTACAGTTGTGGTCTTACCTTGACTTGAAGATGAATATAAGTCCATGCTATCCTTCTGGACAACAATCTCTATTACTGTTTTGTAAAAGTCCTCCTTATCTTCCTGTAGTTTCAAAAGTCTAGTTTGTTGTTTGCGGTAGAATAACAGTAGCAACAAGAACCTGTGGGCTCACGTGCGCCCCCTTCAGTGCGGCAGAGGTTATGGCTGCCTCCCCTGGTGCTTTTTTCATTGCCGTTGTACGATGAGACCAGCGAGCCTAAATATCATATATACGTGAAATAAGTTATTTAGAGACTATGGATGGCGAGGATAAATGTAATAAAGGGATCTACAAACATTACATTGGTGACCTACAGTGAGATGGGAACAGGCATGCGCTTAGGGCCCGCTTTCCAGCCAGTTTCTGTGGGGTGACGCATTCTGAATTGAGGCAGAGCTCATCTGTGCCTCACCTCACCCCACAGTAAATGGCTTGAGCGCGCTCACAAAATAAGTGGCCGCGCTAAATTAGTTACTGTGGGCTTACGTGAGGCAGAGCTCGTCCCTGCCTCACTTCTCATCGCTCCCGTAGCGGAGCTTGGCAAATTGGCTGATTTTGACTATAAAATGCGATTGGAATCATACAGAAATCACATTTACACAAGATCAGTGGAGACATTTTATTATTATTATTATTTAGTTTTTCTTTAATTGTTTTTCCGTTACATTGGAGTATGACAGGAGGTGAGGCTCTGCCTCCCCTGCCTCCACTGACTGCACGTCGCTGCTATGATGACACTCCAGTATTTCTACAGGGTGTTTGGGGCTGCCATTTTCCTGACGTCCATTCTCAACATGTTCATCCCGTCAGCAGCGCGGGTGCACTACGGTTGTGTCATGTTTGTTCGCATCCTGCAAGGCTTAGTGGAGGTAAGAAAAAACACATTGGATGTAAAAAAAGTGAGAAGGATGCATTTTAAGCAATACTTCCATATTGTGGGAAAATACACTTATTTGACTTCTTGTTTAGAGTTAGATGATAGATCAATATCACTCTCATGTCAAAGCGCTCATCCATCAATCTCAGGCAAATACGTCTGTTTCCCAAAATGTGGAACCAAGTATTTCCACGTTGTCAGATCAATTTACTCTCAAGTCTTTGTCCTTTGACATCTTCTATACCATGTCCCTGCTAGGGTGTCACCTACCCAGCATGCCATGGGATGTGGTCCAAATGGGCGCCACCTCTTGAACGCAGTCGACTGGCCACAACTTCATTCTGTGGTGAGCGATGCCTGCAGTTTTCTCTGGTCGTATTACTCAGTGCAGACTACAAAACTGATCACAGCATAGAGCTGCAAACCAGTTTACACAACCTCCTAAGTCACAGTGTGGCTAGTCAGTAAATGGACATGAGAGAGGTCATTTTGTTTTGCAGATTTAATCCAAGGCTTTCTCTCCTGAATTCAAATAAACTGGTACCATGACAACCCACGCATCAAAACCCTCTTGACATTGTCTGTAAATGAACACGGCTCACCTGCGTGCTCAGAAAGAGCGTCTCCCTTTATTCACCTAAAGCAAGCATCACATTGCTTACTGTCCAAAAGCACTCTCATGCTCCATTCAAATCAGCCTCTCTGTGCCAACGACTCAGCATTTATTCAATGAAACTAATGTGTTTCTTTGATGACTTTGTTTTTATCCAGACACATTTCCACTATACAGTATTGTTTTCTGTGATATTGAAGTCGGTTGCACTGTTACATTAAATTAAGTCATATTATACAATACTTTGAAATGGAAATATGAACTAAGAAAACCATTTTTTTAAATATGTATTTACTTATTACTTTTAGTTATTTGTCATCCGCACTGAGATCCAATGTTACTGCTGGAATAATCATACCTTGACTTTGAAATCTGACACTGTTTTTTCACAGGATCCTACGCAGGAGCAGTGATAGCCATGCCTTTAGCGGGAGTGCTTGTTCAGTACGTCGGCTGGCCTTCAGTCTTCTATGTCTATGGTAAGACTTGTGTTTGAATAAAAATCACAACAAAAATTAAATCACACCAAACCTTTCATTAAGTAACTCTCGTAAAAATATTGCAAAAGTACAACATGTGTTTGATGGGAAGGTAAATAGCTTTTTCGCGTCTGTACGCTAAATGTAGCTGCAGCCAGCGCCAGTTAGCTTAGCTTAGCATAAAGACTGGAAACAGAGGGAAACAGTTAGCCAGGAGAATATGCCAGGCAACCAGCAGAGACTCCAGGAAGTGACTGTACCCGGCCATAACAAAATCCCATAACCTAATGTAAATTAACGCTTTTACACTTTTGTTAATATTTTCGATATAAAAATGCATTTAGTCAACCTATTTGTAAGAGAATGTATTTACCCTTGGAAAGAACCTGTCTAGCTATTTTCTCCTAATTTAGTGGGAATGCTGATACAGCATTCCAACTACTTGTTATGCTACGCTCAAAATTCTTTATTATTCCGCCGAGTTATTTTGCGCCTCTTCTGCTCCCACATTCCACATCGCAGAAACTCCGTTCGAACATCAAAACGTTCAGCTCGGTCGGGAATCGATTGCTATTACTTTTCTCATTCATAACTTTCATAATTCCAGAGACATATCCCATAATTCATCACATTTTTAACATGGAAGTCATTGGAGAAACTCTTCAGACTTGAAAAATCTTCATGCGACTTCAACTGCTAACTGTTTCTTCATACTTTCACTCAGAAACCTCATTCCAACTTTAAAATGTTACACATCTTTCTGACATTATTCGTGTAACACAACTTTTAAATCTGAAATATTAAACATTGTTCAAACCTTGGTAAAGAGGCCTTCTTCAGATTTTAGAGTGCGTGATGTCACAGCTAGAGTGGAGGACAGCTTGAAATTTGCCTTCATATATTTTTTTTAAACCTGCCATAATTCCCAAATTCTACATTCCTGAGACATCATTTTTCATGAGAAATGTAGGAAAACATCTCGTAGCTTGAAAATAAATAAATAATTAAGCAAAATAATTAAACAAAATGCCCCTGAGGGCATGAAGTGACAACAACTTTCAACATTTCTCCATTAAAGCCCATTGTAAATTCAGGCTGCTCTTTCCTCACAGCAGAAGCCGCACATATTTAGTTAATCTGCCAAAAAGGCCACATTATGAACCCGAAAGTACACAAAAAGCACACTTCAGATGCTCAGAGTTCTTGAGATGCTTCACGCGTTGAAATTTCACCGATATCTGTTACGGTTCTTCAACAAAACGTTCACATGTAAGAGGTTTATCTCTCATTCAGAACAATGCAAACGCTCTCCTCTCACTGATTAATCACCATGGACACCTTTGATCACTGGACACGTCGTTAGCTCAAATATAAACACCTGTGTCATGGAACACGATGATGTCATAACTCCAACTGACATGCTCAGAGCAGCAGACTTCAGATAATGGTTAACACAGCTCTACATCAAATCTGATGTAACGTAATGTGGTGTTACTATGGCAATGCATCCCTCGCCATAAAACAGCAGCAGACTTCAGATAATGGTTAATGGTCCTGCCCTCAACAGCTCTACGTCAATTATGGGGAGTCATTATATGCCGTTTACATGGAAACGCATCCCTCGCCATGAAACACGATGTCGCTGTAACTCCAATGGACATGGTCCGATCGCCCCCAAACTTTGCTTGTATATCACCGGTCCATGCCTCAACAGCTCTACGCCAAATCTGAGATCTCACCATAGGCTGTTTCCATGGAAACGCATCCCTCGCCTAAAAACACGATGTTGTCGTAACGCCTATGAAAAGGGTCAAAACAGCACCAGACTTCAGATAATGGTTAATGGTCCAGCCCTCAACAGCTCTACGTCAATTATGGGGTGTCATCATATGCCGTTTCCATGGAAACGCATCCCTCGGCATAAAACACGATGTCGCTATAACTCCTATGAAAATTGTCAAAAAGTGCTAAAACTTCACATGTGTGCTAACAGTCCAGCCGTGAAGACATCTACGGGACAGTTTTGAGATTTCTTCGAATGCCGTTGCCATGGCAACACAATGCTCGCCATGAAACACGGTCCAAAACTTCACAGGTTTGGTAACGATGCAGCCATCAACGCATCTAAGCGTATTATGGGGTGTCATCAAATGCCATTGGCATGGCGACAGATCATTCGCCATCAAGTTAGTTAAAAAGTTTGCAGTTAGAGCATTGCCACTAGCAATTTCTTCAGGAATTGCATTCTCTAGTTACAGTCCATCCATCCATCCATCTTCTCCCGCTTATCTGTGGTCGGGTCGCGGGGGTAGCAGTTCCAGCAGAGAGCCCCAAACTTTATTTTCCCTGGCCACATCAACCAGCTCTGACTGGGGGATCCCAAGGCGCTCCCAGGCCAGCGAAGAGATATAATCCCTCCACCTGGTCCTAGGTCTACCCCTCGGTCTCTTCCCAGCTGGATGTGCCTGGAACACCTCCCTAGGGAGGCGCCCAGGTGGCATCCTTACTAGGTGCCCGAACCACCTCAACTGACTCCTTTCGACACGAAGGAGGAGCGGTTCAACTCCGAGTCCCTCCCGGATGACTGAACTTCTCACCTTATCCCTAAGGGAGACGCCAGCCACCCTGCGGAGAAAACCCATCTAGGCCGCTTGTATCCGCGATCTCGTTCTTTCGGTCATGACCCATCCTTCATGACCATAGGTGAGGGTAGGAACGAAAATGGCCCCGTAGACAGAGAGCTTTGCCTTCTGGCTCAGCTCTCTTTTCGTCACAACGGTGCGGTAAAGCGACTGCAGTACCGCTCCCGCTGCTCCGATTCTCCGGCCCATCTCACGCTCCATTGTACCCTCACTCGAGAACAAGACCCCGAGATACTTGAACTCCTTCACTTGGGGTAAGGACTCATTCCCTACTTGGAGTGGACAGTCCATCGGTTTCCTGCTGAGAACCATAGCCTCAGATTTGGAGGTGCTGATCCTCATCCCAGCCGCTTCACACTCGGTTGCGAACCGATCCAGTGAGTGCTGAAGGTCGCAGACCGATGAAGCCATTAGAACCACATCATCTGCAAAAAGCAGTGGTGCAATCCTTAGTCCACCGAACTGCAGACTTACTGCCGAGGACCCGGACACAGCTCTCGCTTTGGGAGTACAGAGATTGGATGGCCCTGAGTAGAGACCCCCTCACCCCATACTCCTGCAGCACCTCCCACAGTAACTCCCTGGGAACTCTGTCATACGCCTTCTCCAAGTCTACAAAACACATGTAGACTGGATAAGCATACTCCCAGCCCCCTCCAGGATCCTTGCGAGAGTAAAAAGCTGATCCGTCGTTCCACGACCAGGACGGAATCCGCATTGTTCCTCCTCAATCTGAGGTTCGACAATCGGCCTGACCCTCCTTTCGAGTACCTTAGAGTAAACTTTCCCGGGGAGGCTGAGTAGTGTGATGCCTCTGTAATTGGCACACACCCTTCTGATCTCCCTTTTTGAAAGGGGGAACCACCACCCCGGTCTGCCACTCCTTCGGTACTGTTTCCGACTTCCACGCAACGTTGATGAGACGTGTCAACCATGACAGTCCCTCAACACCCAGAGCCTTCAGCATTTCTGGGCGGATCTCATCCACCCCCAGGGCTTTGCCACTGTGGAGTTGTTTGACGACCTCAGTGACCTCCCCCCGGGAGATTGGTGTTGATCCCCCTTCATACTCCAGCTCTGCCTCTAACATAGAGGGCGGAGTTGTCGGGTTCAGGAGTTCCTCAAAGTGTTCCTTCCAACGCCCCCCTCAACACTCCATCAGTTGAGGTCAACAACATCCCATCCTTACTGTACACAGCTTGGATGGTTCCCTGCTTCCCCCTCCTGAGGTGTCGGACAGTTTTCCAGAACAACTTTGGTCCCGCCCAAAAGTCCTTTTCCATGTCTTCTCCGAACTTCTCCCACACCCGCTGCTTTGCCTCGGCCACGGCTGAGGCTGCTGCCCTTCGGGCCTGTCGGTACCTTGCAACTGCCTCGGGAGTCCCCCAGGATAACAAATCCCTGAAGGCCTCCTTCTTCAGTCGGACGGCTTCCCTGACCACCGGTGTCCACCAGGAGGTTTGAGGGTTACCGCCCCTTGAGGCACCTAAGACCTTGAGACCACAGCTCCCCGCCGCGGCTTCGGCAATAGAGGCTTTGAACACCGCCCACTCTGGTTCAATGTCCCCAACCTCCACAGGAATGCCCGAAAAGCTCCGCCGGAGGTGTGAGTTGAAGGCCTCCTGAACTTGGGACTCCTCCAGACGTTCCCAGTTCACCCGAACTACACGTTCGGGCTTACCAGGTCTGTCCAGAGGCTTCCCCCGCCACTCAACCCAACTCACCACCAGATGGTGATCAGTTGACAACTCCGCCCCTCTCTTTACCCGAGTGTCCAAAACATACGGCCTCAGGTCCGATGACACGATAACAAAATCAATCATGGACCTTCTGCCTAGGGTGCTCTGGTACCACGTACACTTATGAGCATCCTTATGTTCGAACATGGTGTTTGTTATGGCCAATCCATGACTAGCACAGAAGTCCAGTAACAAACCACCACTCCGGTTCAGATCAGGGGGGCCGTTCCTCCCAATCACAAGGCCGTATACTCTGAACTGCTGTTTGGTGCATAAGCACACACAACAGTCAGAGTTTCCCCCCCCATAACCCACAGGCGTAGGGAGGCGACCCTCTCGTCCACTGGGGTAAACTCCAACAACGAAGCACCCAACCGGGGGCTTGTGAGTATCCCCACACCCGCCCGGCACCTCACACCTTGAGCAACTCCGGAGAAGAATAGAGTCCAACCCCTATCCATAAGTAAGGTTCCAGAGCCGACGCTGTGCGTAGAGGTGAGCCCAACCAGATCCAACTGGTAACGCTCCACCTCCCGCACAAGCTCCGGCTCCTTCCCCCCCAGAGAGGTGACGTTCCACGTCCCCAAAGCCAGCTTCTGTCGCCCGGGTCTGGTCCGTCGAGACCCTCTGCTTTCACTGCCACCCTTCTGGCAGCGCACCTGACCCCATCGCTGTTTCCCGTAGGTGGTGGGCCCGCGGGACGGAGAAGCGGAGGTGTTGCCCACGTTGCCTTTTCGGGCTGTGCCCGGCCGGGCTCTGTGGCAAGCCCGGCCACCAGACGCTCGCCGACGAGTCCTCCTTCTGGGCCTGGCTCCAGAAGGGGACCCTGGGCTTCCTCCGGGCCGGGTATCCTCACTTCCTGTGTCGTCTTTCATGAGGTCTTTTTGAACCAATCTTAGTCTGGCCCCTTGCCTGAGACCAATTTGCCATGGGAGATCCTACCAGGAACACAAGGTTCCAGACAACACAGCCCCCAGGTTCATCAGGGCACACAAACCTCTCTCATTTCATTTCATTTCAAACCTTTATTTATCCAGGTGTATCCCATTGAGATCATTGATCTCTTTTTCAAGGGAGACCTGTCAATCACCCCATTCTGATTGACAAGCTAAAAGCAATTGGTTTTGATAAACTATCGGTGAGCTGGATGCAATCCTACCTGGAGGGGAGAGAACAGATGGTGGAGGTAAACGGTACTCTGTCCCCCCCCCTCCCAGTGAGCTGTGGTGTTCCACAAGGAAGCATATTAGGTCCGTTACTGTTCCTAATTTATGCAAATGACATGTCATCAGCATGTGACTGCAACTTGTTCCTGTTCGCGGACGACTCAGCCCTGCTGGTCTCTGATGCCCCTTTCACACCAACGCAACTCCGGTTCAAGCTCCGTGCTAGAGCTTTTCTGGTTCAGAACCGGTTCTTCGGTTTAGCGCCGGCTCTTTTCACACTGCTCAGAGCCCGACTGGTGCTGCCGCTGCTGCGTCATGACGTCACAGTTTACGTCGCTGAGTTTCTCCCCAACGCCGGAGCTCACCTCACAACAACAACGGGCCGGGGACTGCGTTGCTTTTAATCATACGAAGCCAGATTAAATTAAATAACGACTTCTCCAACCTTATACTTTTCTCCAGAGTGCCGTGGTTCATTGTTTATTAATGTGTTTCAGCGGCATTTACCGACCGCTGCAGTGCTGGCCGGCTGCTCTTCAACGGGAGTGTATTCTCCCGTTAGCTCCGGGTTAGCTCACACGGCTCTAAAGTATTCACTGTCTGACTGTCACACAAGCAGCTGATACATATCCCCAGTTCCCCTTAAGTGAATGTGTGTCAGTCTGAATTGACGCTGTTTGGTGTCAGTCTGAATTGACGCTGTTTGGCATCACAACGCTGTTATGAAAGTTTCTCTGGTATATCATGGGTGATGTTAGCATAGCAACCGAAGCTAAACTGACTACTTGCTAAGCAGTTTTCTACAGGCACTTTTTACCGACGTATTTTTCATTATGATTCTACTTGTGATAGTCGGACATGACAACCTGTGCAGCCCATGTATTGATTCCATCCGATAGCTGCTATAATAACAAACAAAACGTCTGCCTGCTCTCCACAATGATCAATAACAGCGAACGGATGGTCAAAGTAAGGTACAAATAAACAGAATCACACGAAGCCTGGTTAGTGTTGCCTGACTTTATAAAGTGTGTTTTTTTTAACAAGTGTGTGGTTGCGTTCTAGTCACTTTGCTCAGCACTACTGCTTGTTACAACTTTTATTTGCCGTACTCGCCTTAAGTGTTAGCTCAGGTTAATCTCGCCCCCCTCCGACGTAAGCGTGACGTATGCGGTTCTTGCTTCTAGACGGACAACTTTTTGGTGCTCGAAACGAACCGGATTCCGGAGCTATGACGCTGCTCCGCTGCGGTGTGAACAGGAAAACCCGGTGCTTTTCAAGCACCAGCACCGAACCGGCCCTGAAACACCGTTGGTGTGAAAGGGGTGACAGGAGCAGATTGCAGGTTGAAAAAACCATCAGCTCCGAGCTCGGCAGAATCTGCACCTGGCTCGCCGATAATAAATTATCATTACACCTGGGTAAAACAGAGTCCATTCTCTTCGGTTCGAAACATAATCTCAGCAAATCCGACGACTTCTCAGTTGCAGTGGGTGACATTATTGTCACAAGTAAGAAGGAAATTACATACCTAGGATCTATTCTTGAGGCAAACCTCTCCTGTGACAAAATGGCATCCAATGTAATAAAAAAAGTCAATCAAAGAACTAGATTCCTATACCGGATCTCCTCTCTGGTAAACAAAAACACCCTGAAAACTCTGGCAGGAGCACTCATTCATGGGTACTATGACTATGCTTGCACGTCATGGTACCATAGCACCTCCAAGGCGCTAAAAATAAAACTTCAAACATCGCAAAATAAACTGGTCAGACTACTGCTTGACCTTTCATCTAGAACCCACCTCACCTCTGCCCACTTTGACAACCTAGGATGGAGTAGACGACAGAGTACAGCTACTTGCAATGGGCCTGGTCTACAAGATCCACTACACCTCTATGGTACCCATGTACATGTCAAAATTCTTCCCAAAGGTCAAGGAATACCATGATCATAACACCAGAGGGAGCTCCACAAATCATGTAAAACCCAGATTTGGCACAAAAAAGGGGGAATACACGTTTCTTAAATGATATGATGAATTGGAAATGGGGGACCCTGATGTAAACAAGACGAAAGTCTTTCTCTGGTCTGCATCCCCTTAACAATTGTATGTTTTGAGATGTACTGTACTGTACCCAATATACAAGCTGTTAATAAACTTTTCAATCAATCAATCAATCAATCAATCAGACCTGCTCAAGTAGGTTCCACATGAAACATACCTACCACGGTAAGGTACTGGTTCTTCAGAAAGGTAGTTACAGTCACTGTGCTAAATTAAGCTAACTGGACGCTTGCAGTTGCTTCAATACATATCAGTTGGTCTTCTTACTTAACCTTTAGCAAGAAAGCTAATATTAAACAGTATTTCCGTGAAACATTTTTCTTAAAGCTGTACAAGGGTCACTTTTTGTTTTGCAGATATTTTAGAACTGAGGTTAAAAACACTTTTGTTTGATTTGATCTTTACAAATAGATTACACACACAAACACAAATGATATAGTCTGGTGTTGAGTCATTATATACACTAGGTGTCTGTTTGGTGACTTTACAAATTGGTCTTCATATTGCCACGCTGCTGTGTCAGATGTACTTTGTATGCTTTGCACTAAGCGTTATCTGAATCGCTTTAGAGTTTGATTAAAAGGATTAACACTGACGTACTTTGCCAAATGTGTTTTAATAAAAACCTACTCTGGTTCTGCTGTGATATCATCTCGTGATTTATTGATGTAAATTAGCATTTTCCTGTCAGGGCTCTGTGACTCATACCTTTCATTTAAATAATGAAAATTCTTGTGGTCCAGAGAAGGTCTGGGCTTGTTTTAATTATGCTGTCCGGCCCATTACAAAGGCTTCACTAAGAATATAACAACTCTAATTATATATGTACAAGGTATGCATACAAAATGTTTGTAATAATGTTCTTATTCAAGGTGTTTTTGGGATGATATGGTATATCATGTGGCTGCTTCTGGCATATGGAAGTCCTGCTGAACATCCAACCATCACAGATGAGGAGAGGACGTACATCGAGACCACCATCGGTGAAACAATGCGCCAACTGAGTAAGACTGAGGTGTGTATGGGTAACATGCTGCCAGTTTCAGGGGGTCACAAACACAAACACACACAGTATACATAACAGACGTGTAGACTCAAGTAACATGACTTGGACTCAAGTCAGTCTCTGGTCACAAATTGGAAAAATAATTACTTTTTCAAAAAAAAAAAAAAGATCTTCTTGACTTTAACAATAATGACTCTTGACTTAACTTAAACTATACTAAACTAAAATATATTTCCAAGCCTTCCAAGCCCAAAAATTACATCATACGTTACCCAAAACATGTGCCACAAACCAAATGATTTGCCCTTGTTTATTAAATTCACAAACGCTAAGTCAACATGTCCCAAGATCCTCTTTGTTTGAACCAATCTGACAGCAACCAATCAAGTTGCAGGAAAGAACCATGAAGAACTAACGTTGCAGTTGGAAAACACGGTTCCATAGAAAGGACTTATTAGGACTTCAAACGTATTGTTTAGGATTTGGTACTTGACTCGAGACCTGAAATATTTAAAACTAACTATCCAACCTCTGTGGCAAACACTGACTTCTGTCTCCTAAACGCAGAAATTCAAGACACCGTGGCGTCGTTTCTTTACCTCCATGCCTGTCTATGCCATCATCGTGGCCAACTTCTGCCGCAGCTGGACCTTCTACCTGCTCCTCATCAGCCAGCCGGCGTATTTTGAGGAAGTCTTTGGCTTCCCCATCAGCAAGGTTGGCGTTGCAGTTACACTCTAGCTGTTCAGTTTACAATGACAAAGATCATACACAAAGGTTAATACTCATGGGAATGACTTAGACATTAGCTTACTGTGTGTATGATCTCCCTACAGGTGGGGATCCTGTCTGCTGTGCCCCACTTGGTGATGACTATTGTAGTTCCTATCGGAGGACAGCTGGCTGACTATTTACGCACTAACAATATCATGTCTACCACAAATGTGAGGAAAATCATGAACTGTGGAGGTACGTCTTGGTAAACTAAAAGCAATACGTTTTGTCATTTGTTATCCTTATGTGAAACATATCTATGGAAGTGTACAATGCATTTGCTTTAAGCAATTAGCTTAATGGTTTCTGTATTAACAAAGATACCTCAAAATCCCAATACTTTTTTATTGTATTTACTTGAGAGCTCGATTGCATAGAAGCATAGTAATATGACTGTTAAGTAATATCCAACCTATGGGTTTGAGGCTACTGAAGAGTGTGTATGTGTCTTTTTTTTCTTGAGAACATGTTAATTCAGAAAACAGAGCAGATGTTTTTTTATCTTAAGTAAATGCAATCTGCTTCTGTTTTTATCAATACAGATTTTAGAAGATTAAGCCTTTTTGTGTTAGTTTTGTCTTTTGCTGAGCGTTTTCTGTACATTGTTAAGGAGTCTGACTAAGGTATTGTGCAGGAAAATTATTTGAAAAATCTCTCTCAGATTGAAGGAGACCATATAAACATGTTTTTTTTTATAAATGATCTAATGACACACATTTCTCTGGTCCTGTATCAGGATTTGGTATGGAGGCTACTCTTCTGTTGGTAGTGGGGTGTTCTCACACACGCGGAGTCGCCATCTCCTTCCTAGTTCTTGCTGTAGGGTTCAGTGGATTCGCCATCTCAGGTATTACCACGTCTGCACCAAAGAAACATTTGTCTTCAACCTCAAGTGACATACTTTTAGTTTTGCTATTACTGTAAGGGGAAAACATAAGGGCTTTCCTTTTAATTTGTGGTCATTTTAAAACCCTCAAATAAACATGATGTTGCCTATTTTTCATTTTGTTGCTTTTTCCTCTTCGTTCTCTGTCTTTCGGATTACGAGAAACTTGAAGTGAATTTGGGTGTCACACAGCCTGCCTAGCCTTAACGCAGGCACTTCCCCTGAATATTTTATAGATTGTTGTCAAGGCAACCAACAAATCTACATCAAATGTGCATGTGGATCTACAAACCACATTGACTTTTAGAGAATTTATGATGACATTTTCTCACTCTTTTCTTAATCAAATGTTCTTGTGTTTGCTGTTTTCAGGTTTTAATGTCAATCACTTGGATATTGCTCCTCGCTACGCCAGCATCCTGATGGGCATTTCTAACGGGGTGGGAACACTATCTGGCATGGTGTGTCCTATTATCGTTGGAGCCCTGACTAAAAACAAGGTACAAGTTGATTTGTAACAGTAACTGTTTTGCAAATATGTTAACAGAAGTACATAAATTAGTTGCAATTCATCTAAGATATTTTGCTCTTATCTTGACTGTAAATTAAGGTTAATACTTTATCCTTTCATCTCATATTATGTTGAAATCTATTTAATTTGTAATGAGAGTAGAAAACTCAGAAACAGAGTCCTTCACTGAATTTTCCCCCTCATGTATAAAATAATATCAGCTTTGCTTTTTCATCAAACACAAACCCAATGTTTTATTCTTGCATCTATCAGCGTTTGGTGTTAATAATTTATAGCCCTCTAAAATGTACTACACACATTGGAGTTGTAGTTTTTCCAATGCCATACCGTAAGTAGGGCAGTGCATTAACAGTGTTTCCTCAGTGGTACATAATCAAAAGATCTGTCTGAGAGAGGAAAGTCATTGACTCTATTCATCCCCCCACAGACTCGTCTGGAGTGGCAGCATATCTTTATTATTGCGTCCATGGTGCATTACACAGGGGTCATTTTCTACGCTATCTTTGCTTCGGGAGAGCTACAGGAATGGGCCAACCCTGAGAACATCAGTGAGGATAAACGTGGCATTATTGATGAGGACGAGCTAGCTGAAGAATCCGAGCTCAACATGGAGGACGCAATTGCTCCAAAAAAGAGTTATGGGACCACAGACAATTCATCTGGTGGAAAACAGGGCTTGAAAAAGAAGAGAGGTGTGACCATGCAAGAGGAGGAGGAACATTGTGGGAATGGCGACTATCAGGATCGGTACCAGTGAGATGCCCTGTGGGGGGGGGGGGGCTAAACACTTGAGTCTGGTCAAGGCTGAAAGTTTCATTTCACACCCGTGGAAATGTCAGAAACATCGGCAAAGTGACAGCAGCAGCTCCATGTGTACCGCAAGATGATTTTTCTTTTGGTCAATATTCTACAGTTTAACTGTGATGTACTGTATTGTTAAAAATCATATAAAAACACAACATAAAAAAGGAAGAAATCTAAAATCAAGCATCATTTTTAAATAGATAAAATTGGGACAAGATAAAAAAATTGAACAATACTAGTAATCTCCACCGGCATATACTGTAGACTAGTGTGCTCAGTACAGACTAACTAGTGCTGTTAAAAAAGAACATCTGACTTGCATATCAACCTTGAAACCTGACATCCCTGCAGCCTGCGTTGATCGTACTCCATCTGTGAAAGCAAACTAGACTTTATGTGACTTACTTTGAGCCACCTGGCGGTTTTTGAAATGTTTTGTGTCAGCTATGCACCGTAAAAAGAGCTGTGCTTCTGGAATGTAATACTCGGCTTGACAGCAGTGTTAATGTTTTTTTGCTTGTATGTATTTGCTGTTGCTGAATGATTGCACTTTGTCATTGCTTAGTTCGCTCTCCTAGTCTGAGCAGGTCCTAGTTCGACATCTGTTTGTATCACACTTCTTCCAGCATAATGTCAGCTTCATGATTTAAAGTGCTATGAGCTCAGAATAGGACATAAAGGAGAGTTAAGTGCTGACGCTACTCCATGACGCATTTAGTGTAACTATTTATTCTCCTGGTGGTTGTCTTTATTGCAATTTCTCAATATTTGATACATGACGACCCAGTTTGTTTCTAAAAAATAATGTAGTGTAATGTTTAACCCATTAGAGTATGGGGAAGTTACTCTTACTATTTGTCTTTACTGTTATAGAAAAGAAAATTGATTTTGTACAGTAAATTATTATCTTATTGTTTGAAAGAGCATTGATTTGATTTGCACTTTACTTGAACTCACTGGAGATGTAATAAACTACATTTTTATTCTGTATTAAGATTGTTTAGAGACATACAACTTTTATGTGGTTATTGAACATTTACATTACTTTGTGTTTTCAAAGAAATGAATCATCAAATTGCAAACTGTGGGTAATCAAAATCAACAATGATAATCTACGGGTTAAATGCTAACGCTAGCATGGCAATATGATCACAATGACACTTCTTACGTGTTGATGTTTGGCAAGTATTATGTTTGCCATGTTCACCATCTTAGATTAACATGTTAGCATGCTGACAATAATCAGCAATAAACAGACAACATCTTAGGAGGCTGGGAAAGAACTTTAAAGTGATGGTGCTGCAAGATGAATCAGAGGAAAAGCCAGAGGATCACAAAAGTCAGAAAGCTCCATCCTCTGGGGACCGTGAATGTCATCGCAATCCATCTAATATCTGTTGAGATATTTGGGTCTGGGTCATTTGTTGGACTGATCTAGACATTCTTGTTTAAAAGAATAGAAGAAAGAAAGAAGCCATTTAAAAGCTGAGGGCAAGCAGTGCCTTCTCCCTCTATTATTCAGCTTTTTAAGATGTGTTTCCACCTCTCAAGCTCATTTTTATCTCGGCCAAGGGGGTTATGTTACTATTGGTTTTCTGTTTGTCAGCAGAATTATGGAAAAAATATGGGCACTGCTTTCATTAACCTTGGTTGAAGGGTCTAGCAGGGGCTAAGGAAGAACCCATTACATTTCAGAGAGGTTCTGAATCATAAGGCTAATAGATACATCTTTCGTAAAAAAAACGAGATAGGGCATTTGGCTTTAATTGAATTAAATGTATGTATTTATTTGAACAAGGACCATGCATTAAAATACATTAATTTCAGAAAAGAGAAGAGAAGATCTTTGCCAGATTTGAGCTAATTGCTCCTTTCCATCTGTAGTCCAGGCAGGTACATAACTATCAACACACACTAAAAACGTTGCATAATCTCTATCACACACACACAATTATAAAACAGATTGTCTTTGGCAGAGGTCTGCACTTTCTAAGTAACCATATATTAATTTTCAATTATTTTTAAAAAGCTTTATCCATACACAATGTGTCCTTTATACGATACAGCTTCTCGTTCTCTTCTGTTGCTACTTGATACATTTGGCTGTCCTTAATGGTGCCTGTTTATGTTAGTGCACTCAAATTAGACATTTTTAAATATTCCAAAGACTGCTCTGTTTCCCATCACGTTGTGGTAAACATCCTCTGTCTTATCTCTCTTGCCTGTTTCATTTTGACCACCAAGAAAACAATTACTGGACAGGATATTCGTCACCCGTTTTAAGTCTTGCTTTGACAAAACTAAAAGATGACAGTTACTGTAGAGGGAGTCAGTATAACGAAATATACATTTATAAAAATGTATTAACGTGGACTTATTGATCAATAAAAAAGTATATTGACTGAACATGTTGATGAAAAGCTTCAAGATTACACACTTTGTTGCTGGCTTTCTTCACAGAAGATGTGGCCGCAAATGTCACTTTAAAGGGTGTGTTTCTGTTTTTGTATCTATCAAAACTCACAAAAGGGTCTGTTTGTAATGACTAATAAAAACCAAGGTGAAAGGCAACACCCAATAGGTGCTTACATGATCCGAGGCATTTAAAGTAGGACATATTCTCCTGTTAATAATAATATTAAGAAGCACACGTAATAAAACAATAGATACCAGTGTTAATAAAAGGATTGGTGTGGTATCAACTAAAAGATAATGATTGAAGGAATATCCAGATATAATGATGTCTGATACAAAGGGATAGCCAATGACGTCAGCAGACAGGAATGGAGGAGCAGGTTGTTAAAGCCACAATAATATCCACTGAGAAAAAGTCATCACTTATAATATCAAATTATAAAGTAAGGATTAGAGAAATGTAGATATGAATAAGTTACAAAGCAGGAGGAGTTGAATTGAGCATATGGGTGTATAGCGTATATAAGCACTTTAAGGTGAATACAGTTTGCTATTCCATGGAACAGTCAACCTATTATTACATTGAAATCTAAATCATTGTGTTATATGATTTTTTTTTAAACTACAACACATTGGAGAAGAACCTGAAGACCCAGCTGCAGGTTTATTGGACAATATATAACTTTTAGACATGCTCAGTTAAGTTGTGTGGGTCCTTTCCCCGAAGTCATCGCTGCCAGCTCACTCCCCACATGCTCTCAAACACAGACCAGATAGTCCACAAACAGCCGGCAGCCAATAGCAAAGGTTCTGTTTATTTCTGAGAGACTGTCTGTTGACTCAGAAGGGCCTCTTTGGATGGAGCAACAACCCATCAATGATTAAACTATTGTATTTTGGACAAATTAAGGATTGTATAGAAAAGAAGATTTAGATTTCCTGTGTGCTTGGGTAAATCTTAAGACTACACAAAGACAAAGGGCCCATATGACAGTGCCATTATATGACAATTGTTGTGCAGACTGGTATTGCAACTAGCAGTGACATGATAAAATAACTTTGATTAGGTCAAGGACAGTCAGCAATGATTGATATAATTCATTTCTGTGCTTGTAAATAATAATATAAAACTTTCAGTGAAATGTTACTGTTTCAGTGAAAAGAACAGACACCGTGATGCTCTGTTTATTTTTCAAAAAAGTATTTGGACTGATAGCAGCGCTTCTGCTCAGCTTCTGCTCGCACTAACACCAGTTGTTTGCCAATGGCTGGATGTATGTTCCATGTGTAATGTGTGTGTGTGTGTGTGTGTGTGTGTGTGTGTGTGTGTGTGTGTGTGTGTGTGTGTGTGTGTGTGTGTGTGGTGTGTGTGTGCGTGTGTGTGTGTGTGTGTGTGTGTGTGTGTGTGTGTGTGTGTGGTGTGTGTGTGTGTGTGTGTGTGTGTGTGTGTGGTGTGTGTGTGGGGGGGGGGATTTCTGGTGTGCTGGAGAATTCATGAGGCAGCCTCTTGTGTTAGTGAGATAAAGAGGTTATTTTTTTGGGGGGGGGAGAGTTTGTGTTTGTGGGAGGGGGCTGGGGGGTGACATGGACAGGAATGGACAGTTTAATTAATAACCACCATGCATTTCTCCCTGACCTCAACTGGTCACACATGCTCTCACTGGAGTCCAGACACAAGCAGCGTAATGTTCATTAGCAAACATTGATTGAGCTGTAGCTCTCGGCGTGGAAATCAGAAACAAAGCTGAAAAAGAGGAACATTAGCAGGCAGCAAATCAACATCCAAGGACCAGCGCAAGGTAAGAAATGTGAAATGGAATCTGAACATATTTCAAGTTCACCGGTGAGCAGGTGATTCTTTATGAGTCCGCGACGTGCCATTATGTGTGAGGTTTGGCTGTTTTGTGGGGTTGTTAAGAGGTCCGGGGGTTTCTGAATCACTGTGGGTTGGTCTTGGATCTCAGGGGAAATTACACTGAGTTAATTAAAAAAATCAGTGGCAGATGAAGTCCATGAAAGTAATGTTTCACATGCGACCATGTAGCGGCCTTGACACCAGAAAGGCCACGGATACGTTTAAAAACATGTCTGTTATTCAAAAGATACATTCAAGTTACAAATCAGCTTTTACCCTTTGGTTAAATGGGCATCTATCTCAAACTGAAGGCTTGCCTGTAATATTTTAGTAATTTATTTTAGAAAGATAAAATAACACAGATCTAGTTATAGCCTACATCATGTCAAACGAGCCCCTGGCAAATGTGTACTTGAATGTGAAATAAAATGACTGCACTGACAGGATGCAGAAAGAAAAGACTGACTGGCTCTTAGGGGGTCCTTATTATGGGTTGATTTTCATCCCCCAACCCCATGTAGGCTACTGAACATCTCATCCCTGTGTGGGAGACAATACTTGTCAGCTGTGGTGATGTAGAGACTCCCAGGCTGATCCTGCAGACCCATAAGAGTGTCAAGAAAATCGTCACCATGGATCACAAATCACACTATTTGTATGCTTGTTACAGAATAAACCAGAGGCTCTGTTCCATAAAGTCCAAACTCTGCTGGTGCCCGACGACCATCTTGAATGAATGAGTGGGTGGGCCCCGACTTTAATGTGGTGGGACCGCTGCAAATCCCACCCAGCGATGAATTCTCCATCTCAGAGAGCTCCCACCTCTTTGGTAAGTCTATAAAGCAGGACACAGGTCACAGAAAGAATACAGCCACTGTGTTGCTCCAACACCATCATGCTAACATGCTCACAGTGACAACAACAACAGGTGGATGGTTCACACGTTTTGTTAATTTTGGCCCAAAATACAACTGAAGTCGAGGGTAACTTCATTGTTTTTGCAGGTATATGCTCTTAAAAACCTTTTAGACAAATTGAGGATTTAACCCAAACATGACACAGATACAAAAAAGTCTAGGGCATCTATAGGCTTCTATCAAAAAACAAGTTATCTAGTTCCTTAGAAATCTAATATTTGTTCAGATTTCTCACTCAAGATCAAATCGGTGGATCAACTTATTGCATGTCGCCACCTCTCTCCCCCTTTATCACAAAAGCTGTTCTATCAATCAGAGCCCAAAACATTATTCTGACAAAACATTTAAAATAAATTATGATATATAAAAACGTTATATATCACCTGTGTTAAGCAGGAATACAAACATGCAAAAATAGATAATAAATACTGTGGCTTGAAGCTGATCTTATCTGGACATTTATTATCAAATCAACTCATTGACTCCTTGTTATGATAGGCAGACTGTACAAGACTCAAACTGTGAGTTGTAAAACCATGTGCTGCACATGGCTGTCCGAAAACTATTTAGCAAACAAGCATAGCAGTGAAATAAAAATAAGGAAAGATAATTAATTAAATCATCTACTGTCACTTTAAGTTGTATACTACAAACGCAATCTTGACTAACCTAACTGTAAAAAACACAGTAGAGACAAAAGGCGACCAGCATCACTCTGTCTTTTACGTGAAAATGATTATTAAATTCAAGCAACACCATACAGTAGCAGTACGTCAGTACTACAACCACAATCTGGAAATTATTTCTGCTGCTTGTAGTGATGTAAAGAAATGAGACTGTGGTTAATGAGTAGCCGTAGAAACCTTTGCTCCCCTTTAGATTTCTCAAGCAAGCGTCAAGGAGTTCAGTACTCGATCTGCTGTTCACGTATAAAGGAAGGTTTCCCATCAAAAGAACTACATGAAAGATGGTTGTTGTTGTTGTTGTTGTTGTTGTTAGTTAGAGGCAAAAGACGGACTGGTTAACAAAATACAGCTGGACTGTTGGGATCGAGAGTAAAGTCTTGAATTTGGAGAGTTTTGTCGCACGAGATGGCCATGGTCCAGACCAAGTCTTCTAGAGGTCAGTGTTACATATACTTCACAGGTGCAGCATTAGTGTTGAGTGTGTCTGTTCACTTATATGGCAGATTGGATTAAGGGATTTTTCTTGTAGACTACAAAATCACTTTACGGTGGAAAATTGTTAAAATTCAACACATCATCTGGAAATCTGGAATGATAAAATAACACTTTACATCTGCTAATTATTATTGTATCTGTTTCATAAGTGCCAACCTGTTCGTGGTTCAGGTTTGATGTCACTCTAAAAGACACCGTGTGCTCTGTGCAAGCAAGTTGTTAATCATTTATGAGTTTATAATATGTGTTGTGACGGTTACCAACTACTGCTGAGCCAGTTCCTATTCCACTGTGACAAGCTTGTGCAGGGAAGCACAATAAAACTGTCTTGGAGTGTTTCCTTATCAAAGTAGGGGTTTTAATTATCTAAGGTATCAAACTGTAGACAGCCCCCTCAGACAAATGTGTGAGTTTATAAAAATGAAAGGGACTTGACATTGACCAAAATGGATTTCCTTCTGTGTGTTTGGCCATTGAGCTGAAGCGGTCTTATTCAAGGAACTTGTCCATATTATTAAAGCTGCACTAATTAATATGTAAATGACCGATGTGTCTAATCACTACGTTTAATGTGAAATGTGACACCTCTTTGTATTGGTTTTCTGAACCACAACCTCAATGTATTGGTACACTCTCTTTGCTCTAGTTGCAATATTCCCTGATGCAGCATACCTAGCACTAAACGGCAGACAAAGTTAGCATCTAGCTGGTGAACGTATTGGAGCATACTCAGATCTTTCCCTCAGGTGTTGGTGGAGACCAACATCAGTTCAAAGAAAGTGAATATTTGACTTAGATTCATCAGATGGCCATAGATTTCAACCAACTCCTTTTTTAATACCCTGTCCGCTTTGCAACGCGAGTAAGCCAGCTTTGCTGCTCGAGGTTGGCCTCTAACTGTGGCCAAGGTACGGTTAAATCGCAATCCATGTTTTTATATTAGGTCATTGGTTCAAAAGAGTAGTAATTTGTTAATAGCGAGTGGTCAAGCAGCAGAAAACAGACAGAAAGAGAGATGTTTTAATTAATCATTATTTAATTGATAGATCAGTTGTAGGGAAAAATTGGTATTGGTGACTTTCCGATTTTGAATCTCTTTGAAATAATGTTGTCCTAATCTTGGGATATAAAAAAAAACGTGTCAATGTTCCAGATGAACTACCCTTTCTATTTTAATCGCTTTCTAACATTTAAGATTATTCAATGTTAGGCTAAATTATGTTATATCAACTTCAAAAAGTATGAAAGTTCATTCTTGACCTTGAGTGTTATCTTATCTCAAGGTCCGTTTACAAGCTTTTTCAAGGCTATATCTTATGATCATTGTCAGCAAATTGTGTTTGCTCTGCTGACAGTGAGAATTCATTATTTGATTCCCTTTTCATGCTTTTTATGACATCTCCATTTGATAATGAAGGCCACAATAAGCAATTTTAGTTGATTTTATAATCCTTCTCCTTTACTCTTAGATATTCTGGCAGATCAAGGCAGTCCTTTCCTGCAGGACCCTGACATCTTACCCTTCACCTATCCCAGCACGCATTATCCCTCCATGGAGCCGACTATGTCTTCCACACCATACTACTCCAGTCAGAACTTCTACCCTCAGTACAACGGAGACGAGTGGTACTCACACACAGGGATATATGAACTAAGGAAAGGACCCCTGGAGGTCGGCTATGATGCTGAGATGGAGGAGGTGACGGCTGTAGTGCCTGCTGTGTGCAAGAGGACACGACACATGTCACAGGCGGGAAGGGTCAAAGGGGAGGAACTGTGTGTGGTGTGTGGAGACAAGGCCTCTGGATACCACTATAACGCTCTAACCTGTGAGGGATGTAAAGGTGAGAGAAGCTGTGCCCCCCTCTGTTGTAGCAGATTTCCCTGGAAAATGACACATTGCGAATCCATTTAAGATAAAGATTTATATATGAATACAATAGATAGATAGATAGATAGATAGATAGATAGATAGATAGATAGATAGATAGATAGATAGATAGATAGATAGATAGATAGATAGATAGATAGATAGATAGATAGATAGATAGATAGATGGAAGAAAACATTTGTCATGTAGAGGTTATCCACTTGGTGACCGTGGAGTCGTGGCCTTTAGCTGCTCCTCCCGGTTTATTGTGACGCTGCAAATTGGCCGTGATTCCAGCCGAACCCCCAGTGAATGGATAATTGTGTAATTCCACACTGAAAGTTTGGACAATGCCAGGAGTGCAGCAGCTGGTCTGTCCTGCCATTTGACTGAGAAGAGGCTCAGGTCTACCCGGTGCTGCTGCCAGATTGGGTTCCCTCTCAGCTTTCTGCTGCACAATGCAGGAGCAACCTGAGCTCCGTTACGCTAATGCATGCTATTCTGCTTAATGTTCTGTGTCAGAATGTCTAATAACTGTTCCAAAGTTATCCTGTGTGTGTGTGTGTGTGTGTGTGCGCGTGCGTGCGTGCGTGTGTGTGTGTGTGTGTGTGTATGTGTGTCTGGGGCGTTGCCAGCTGGGTTCACCGCATTCTCTCCATGACATTATTAGAACAGTGTGTAAGAATGTAATTAATATTGCCTCATTACGGATCTTTTTGGTTAAATCAGCTGAAATATGCATGAAATAAAGCATGAATTACATTGCTGACAGTGGTAGGCGAAGATCACGTTCAAGTCTAAAAGTAGAAACCACAAAGGTATTATTTCAGATCTGCTGTAAGCTAGTTGGCTAACATAGCTAACCTAGTCATTTCAGATATACTGACGACTGAAACACTTACAATTATGAAACCGACTCTGCGACAGTGATTGTTGGCCAACATTGTGATTCACAAATGTAAACAATCGCTCCGGTCCCAGCTGTGTGCTTCACCTTCCAGTGTCCCCGTTGCCATTTTGTGTGTTTCTTGCAGAGTTTTTTTCATTAGCAGTTTTTTGTTTATGCTGTGCTGTTTTGGCACATTTGTGTTTCTATATTTGCATCGTCTTTGAAAATGCTGCATGTTTCTCCTGATGAAATGTTTTGGGCCGTTGCAATGCGTTTGCACCTGTCGGCCACCGTATATTTGCAAGAAAAATGCAAGGTAACTATTAAACATAGTTGGCATCAAATGTAGTCACACAAATGTGTAAAAAGTACAGTTTAAAATGTTGTGGAGCAAAGGTAAAAAGTATGGAAAATATTAGGGACATATGTGATAATTCCTGCTTTTGTCAAACATGTTCAGGTTTCTTCAGACGAAGCATAACCAAGAATGCTGTGTACAAATGCAAGAGTGGCGGGAACTGTGAGATGGACATGTACATGCGCAGGAAATGCCAAGAGTGCCGGCTAAGAAAGTGCAAAGAGATGGGCATGCTGGCTGAATGTGAGTATCGCTGATCATTAAGAAGACACTTCATCATCATGGTGACAGTATGTTTAAAGGATTTCTCTTCAATGCAATTTGGAATTAAACAATTTTAGATTATGTATTATAATACATAAATGTATACACAAACTGTATTGCACCATCCACATGCACACCTTATTTAGTCGAGTCAAGAGAGGCTGTCAAAGGCTACCCTCATTTTCCATTCTGACATAGCCTGTTGAGTTTTACAGGAGGATAGGATGTCACTTAGCACACAATAGAAAGGTCCAGCTTTTGTTGCTGTTACAGGAATATAAATAGTTAAACAGAAACCGTAAGATCCATTTGGAGAAATGTAAAATGGATCCTGTTATTAAAAAGTATTTGCTATGGAACTTTGCATCTTGAAACCTTTTGGGGGAATGTAGTCTCCTCTATTTTCAGAAGCTGAGCATACCTAACGTGTAGACAGAAATTGTAGATGTGAATGAATACTTTCAAAATCTTTGGAGGATGATTAGTTATTGTGTCGAAAAAGAGCTGGGGGGTCAAAAAGAGCAGGTAGATAGACAAGACTCCTGTTGCTCATAAATAGTGCACGTTGTGATTAATACTGCAAGGCGGCAGGCATTAATGATTTGCTGGAGCAATAAGAGCTCAACGCACTTCTAAGACTTTTTTGGTCAAAGTGTAAATGACAGATGCTAATTTACTGGAGGGATTTGTGTCACTTCTCACGTTTCAAGTATTATTTAAAGAGGAAAATCATTTATGGTTGAACTTGTAGGACCTATAGTTACCTTTGTTCATTAGAATTAGAGCAAGTTGTCATGATAAAGGATAGTTAAGTAAAAATATATATTTTCCCTTTGGTGGTTACATTATAATTCAGAAATAGTATGGTGAAGAACAATAAATCATAAGGAACAAAAAGGAAATCACGCAATGATTTAAAAGTAATATGACTTTTGGATCAATAACATACTTGGGTTATACATTGTGGTATTAAGATTAAGAAAATGACTCACTTCACTTCACCATGCAGTTTTGGTACTGATGGTTATTGGACATCATGATATAAGAAAATGAACATTTACAAATGCTGAGAGCTGTGAGGTATTTAACACACATAGTGAAGCCTTCATCACCGCTAGCAGGCCTACTGACGGAGATCCAGTGTAAGTCTAAAAGGCTGCGAAAGAACACTAAGACTTCCCCGGGACAGTCGACCGGAGACGAGACAGAAGCAGCGGACAACACAGACAACAAACAGGTCACTTCAACCACCAAACTGTCCAAGGTAAACACACCGGCTGCCATGTTGGGAAAAAGCTCAGTTTTCTAACATCATTAAGTCTGTTGTTAAATACAAAATAATTTTCACCACAATGATGTCTTCTGTTTTCTGTTCAGGAGAAAGTCGAAATCACCAAAGAGCAGCGGGCACTTATCAAAGCCATCTTAGATGCTTACAACCGACATCAAATTCCTCAAGATGTGACCAAAAAACTGGTACATTAGCCTGTACATGTATATCAATTCAAATGTCATTAATTACTTGAATATGTGACATTAAAGCAGACATATTATGGTCATTTTCAATACCATATTTAGCACCTGTCTCTTTAAGCCCACTTCATGAAAATGAATCCTATTTGATAGCTTTGCAATAAAAAAGCTTTGGGTGGAGATACTCAGATGGGGAGGCGATATACTTTAATGCATGTAACATAGCGGCTGGCTGGCTCACATGTTTTCTGACTGAAACTACCCATAAACTGACTGGCTTCTTATATTTTCCACTATTGTGGGTTGAAGATAGGCTTTTAGATACTCAATGTTTGTGCAACAACACTGAAAAAGTTAGTCTGCCATAAAATGTCCCCTTCAAAAGATTTAATAGATGCATTTGGGAAAATTGGCAACAGAGTGCAGCTTATTTGCACAAAGCCATTACAGAAACACGCCACTCTCTGACCATTTGTCTGACATTTATCTACATTTCAGACACTGAAGTTAACATGATGACATGCTTAGGCCTCTGATGACACAATAAGTACTAAACCTAGTTGTTGTAACCTACTGCTGGTGGAGTTAAAGCTACATTGGTTTGTTATCTCTTTGTTGATCTTGTTCAGTGCTGTTTACTCCTGTTGTTTCCCCGCAGCTGCAAGAACAGTACAGTGCAGAGGAAAACTTCCTCCTGTTGACAGAGGTGGCAACTAGTCAAGTTCAAGTACTGGTGGAGTTTACAAAAAATATTCCAGGTATTGTTTCCACATTGAGAATATTATAAAAAATAGTCAATGTATAATATTATGACCATGGGTGATTATCTACCATAATATCAGAACAAGTAGAAAAACACTAATGCTGGATGTAATGAGTGGTTTGATGCCTCTGGCAGGTTTTCTCTCTCTGGATCGTGAGGATCAGATCGCTCTGCTGAAGGGCTCGGCTGTGGAGGCCATGTTCCTGCGCTCAGCTCAGGTTCTCAGCAAAAAGATGCCCAGCGGACACATAGAGGTTTTAGAGGAGAGAATACGCAAGAGTGGTGAGTCAACAAAATGTATACAGAAAATGTAACGCACAACATTTCTTTTCAAAAGTCAGTTGGTGTAACCACAGTAATCCTTGTTTTCTAGTAGAAACCATGGTCTTTATCATAGAGAATATTAAAAATAGTTTTAGAGCTAGAATATCTTTACCCTTTATTTATGACCTTCAAGAGTCTTCAGGCCTTTTATTTGCACATGCAGCATCATGACATTTGTAGTTCCACCTGCAGCCAAGCAGCCAGGTCTAGTCAAATCCTTGTTGAATAATTGATCTGCCTGATCTGTGTGATGCAGCTTGGAGATGTGTGCTGATCTGTTGATCTCTAGCTAGGTGTAGGTTACACATGCACACACACCCTGCCTGGGTACAGTTTCACTCAGTTCAGGTATGTGTGCGGGCATGCTGACAGGTAAAGGACGGCAGTCGAAGAAAACCAAGCTCTTCTGTGGCACTGGATTTCATTTATTTAATATCAAATAGTTTACCAGCGTGGTGGCTTTAGGAAGTCATTTATATGTATGCGAGGTGTCACCATGTCATCCAGGTTGGACAGTTAGACAGACAGTGATGGTGGAAGTGTGTGTGAGTCACTGGGTCCCTCAGCGCAGCTCTGCTGTGAATGCTGGGGATAAGAGACATTTACACTAAAGGACAGTCTGGGAGAATAAGGAAGCAAAGCTGTCTGAAGAGACTATTGTTCCTTATCAAAACATCAAGAGGGCTATTGTCCACTTCTCTCCCTCGGAGACTCACTGGCATTTCTGAATGCTTGATGATGTGATGAGTAGGAACTGTTGCCAGCGTGCACAAGCAAAGTGAAAGCACACATTTGAAATGATATAGAGAGCAGTTTGTAATTATCATCTGCATTTATTATTGAATCAGTTTTCCAAAGAAGAAGAAAAACAAAGAAATGTGTATTATGTATGCTTAAGGTCTCCGCAAAACGTTTCCCTGATTAGAAATGAATAAGGTGGATCCTCTTTCTACTGCATTAACAGCTGTGTTTGATTTGCACAAAGGACCAGGTTATTAATTTGCAATTGAAAGTACTTTTATCATTCCAAAGTTGCCTCTTTTTCCTCTCTTTACTTAGTCAAAACTGTTAAGTCCCGGATTCACTATAAAACACTCCTCCTCACGTACAAGTCCCTCCATACCCTCGCCCCCCAGTACTTAACTGACCTCCTACATCCCTACACCCCTTCTCGGAGTCTGCGGTCCTCCGACACGGGCCTGCTCTCCATCCCCCGCTCTCGCCTTCGTACTGTGGGTGACAGGGCGTTCAGTGTTGCGGCCCCCACCCTCTGGAATGCACTTCCTCCTGAGATCCGGAACGCTGCCTCACTGGACATCTTCAAATCCTCACTAAAAACACACCTGTTCACCGTGGCCTTCGGACCCTAGTCCTTTCCTGGTCCCCTGGCTTCCTTTATTTTATTTTATTTTGTCTTGTTTTGTTCACTCCTCATTGTCTGTTTTGTTTTGTCTGTCCACCATGTACAGCGACCTTGGGTCCCGTGAAAGGCGCTTTATAAATTCCATTTATTATTATTATTATTATTATTATTAATTTGGATGCAATTCAGATTCATACGTATATATCGCTCAATCAGTATATTCCTTAATGTAGGCGAGAAAATAACCCTCCCCAACATTCATGTTACCTTTTTCTATGTTCCTTGTGATCATAAAGATAACGATTAATACAGATGAGGGAGGGCTGTTGATTAAATGTCCTGGTTCAAAGTGCAGACTGTTATGTTCTCGCACTACTTCTTGTTTATTCATCCTACCAGATATATAAAACAGTTGAATGTTTGTTGTCCTGCACCAAGTCGGTGCAGGACAACAAACATTCAACCGGATGGCACCATCGTTCATCAGATTTCTTCATCACATGAGCAATGTACAACAACATCATCTGCATTCAGTTATAAATGACTTCTTTTTCAAGGGTTACAAATCTGAGAAAGTCAATGTCAAACATCCAAGTTTACATTTTGTTGTCAGAAAGATTTCTGGTAAATATAAATACAAAGATGCTACAGCAGTTTTAAAACTGTTTTTTAAAAGGGCCTATATGTCGATAACCACAAAGATTCCACAAAATGGTTCCTTTAGTTTTTCTATTGTGTGTGTTGTAACCACTTAATTTTGATCCAGGCTATTGCCATGTTAGTGTGTATGTGTTGAGTAGGACTTAAAATGGTTTGGCTCTATGAAACTGTACTTATATGATTCTGTTTTCTTCAAGTTTGTATCTTCTTGGTCGAATGCACTTATTGTAAGTTGCTTTAGATAAAAGCGTCAGCTAAATTAAATGTAATGTAATGTAATGTAATGTAATGTAATGTAATGTAACAACATTGTGTTATTGCTAATTCAGGGTTTGTGTTCGACCTTGACATATCTTGGAGGTTTTACAAGGACCTTGATTTTATGTCCATTCACCATACATGTTTTTTGATTAGTCAATGCATTTCTTTCTGCAGGTATGTCAGAAGAATTCATGACACCCATGTTCAACTTTTACAAAAGCATCGGAGAACTCCACATGACACAGGAAGAACAGGCTATCCTCACCACGATAACCATCCTGACACCAGGTAAGCCAGTATCCACAACTTTTAATTTAATTTCCTACAGTTTGTGATATTCTGAGAGGCTAATCCTCATCCTCTCCAGACCGGCCTTACGTGAAGAGCCATGAGGCGGTGGAGAGACTCCAGGAGACCATGCTGGACGTGCTGAGGAAGCTGTGTGTCCTGCAGCACCCTCAGGAGCCGCAGTACTTTGCCCGCCTGCTGGGCCGCCTGACGGAGCTGAGAACACTACACCACTACCACGCAGAGATGCTCACCTCCTGGAAGACCAACGACCACAAGTTTACGCCGCTGCTCTGTGAGATCTGGGACGTGCAGTGACAAACCAGGAGAGGTGGAGAAGCCTGCAGAGGAATGATAACATGAACATTTCAATTTGCAAGACAAATACAGGGTACAAATACAGCGCATATTTAGAGCGGATGATATGAGGATTTAGAATTAAATCCCTGCACCACCTGTTGATGGCTTTAGTCATGAATCGGTGAATGGTTTTCTTTATTCTGCTCATGGATTGTTTATGGCCTGAAACATCTTCATGTATTTTCACTGTGATTCAGCAAACTCTGACTTGCCTGTTTGTTGAGATGTTTTCAGTGCAAAGAGGAACATGTTAAAAGGTTGTGTACAACAAAACATGTTAAATCCGACTAGTACAAACACTGAAACTTATTCAGCGCAACGATGGTGCTCATAAGGAGTGCTAACTTTAGATTATATTAGCTTGTTTTATATTTGTGAAAGTCATAGTACTTGCTAAATCTACTTGCTGTAAATACTACATGCCAAAGGTGTATGTTCTGCCTCAATAAATAACAAGATTAACAGGAAAAAGGTTTACTTTAGAACATTCTTCAAACCTGTTATTTCACTATTAAGGGGTACATGTACAGACATAACAGTTGGTACATCTGAACATTTTGTATTCTTGTCCCCCCTTACTCTATTTAATTTAATCTAATTTAACTGAGCTAAATCATGCTCAAACTCCTCAAATAATATGGGCAGAATGTTACACTATCAATAGCTAACCCTAAGACTGATGAAGGTCCCATATATTACCTGCAACAGCTAACAAGAAATGACTTATTATGCCTACATTTCAGTGCTTGTAAGAGCTGATATTTCATTTCAGTGGGGTATCAGTAATGCACCTCAAATGCAGGAGCATAACTGTGTTTTTGCACAGATAATTCCTTTTTGATAATTAAAATATATTTACGATTTGCTGCTGACTCTTATCTAACTTCCTTTTTTGTATACTGCTTTTATTTGCTGTAGTTGCTGTAGTGTTGTAGCACTGATGCAAGGTGCAGCAGCAACACCAAGGCATGGAGAGCTAACAGTAGAAAGCAGTACTGTGTACATATTAAAGTAATGAATCATGTATCAGTCTATAGTTTTACATTTTAGTGCAGACATGTCAATTAAACAGACCGGTAATTTGAACAATATGTAAGAAATGATGTCATTAGCATAAGAAACAAGACCTTGTGAATTCAGTAAATTGTTTACATTTATTTAGTTTCTTGAAATAAAAACATCACAAGAGATACAGATATATCTACAATTGAATTTTGCAATACTACGTCGATGACATGACTCAAATGAACACCACTCACATGAGCACCACTCACATCTGTATCTATTTTTTACAGTGAGCAGATTTTAATAAACTATACATCATTTACACAATATTTCTTAACAGGCAATACTATTTTTTCCATTTAAAATACAAATAAAATACGTCTGTAAACAAAAACCCAACTGTATTACTTAATGAACGAGTTGTTATTTAAAATATATTTTTCTTATTGTGATGTCTTACAGTTAATTACACTTCAAGGACATAAATAACCCTGTTGCATGCAGGTTAATGTCCTTTTTTGTATTACAGCTCCATCTTGTGGCGTAATTTGGCAACAGATATCCTCCCATGAGTTACATTATAGGGTTACAGAAGCAAACAAACAAAGCAGTACCAACGTAGTAACACCATACTGACCACAGAATTCTTTTTATGCTCGATCTACAAAGAAATAATAAACAGATCTTCTACAAAAACATCAGACTCTGTTATGAAGGGTAAAGACATTTAGCGTTGAGTTCTGTCCTGGGTGGTGGGAAGTGGGAGTGTTTCTGCTTCAGGGTAAACCAGGAAGCCAGAAAAGGTGGTGTACCTCCCCTGGTTGCTGTAGACAGCGTAGCGCTCATCCTGCTGACTGTATAGCCACACACTCTCGCCCCGACGGAGAGACAGCAGCAGGCTCTGACTCTGCATCTCCCTCCTCTTCGACGTATCCTCATCAAACACCATGGCCTGCACCTCGCCCTTCCCGCTCATCAGTTTCACAGAAACAGCCTTACGAGGGTGTTTCCCCACAGTGAAGGCAAAGAAGTATGCGCCTGGGTATTGGCAGGTGAACAGGCCGGAGGTTTTGTTGAAATGCCCCCCGATGTTGACGTATTCCACATCAAAGGTCATAGGTGGCTTTTCATGCTGCTTGATACTCTGACCTATGAGTGTGGAGGTCCGTGCCATAGAGAAGGCTGACCTTGGCTGCTCTGATGTGTGACCTCTGGACAAGGGGTCAGCCTGAGGGGGGCAGTTTGGGTAGGACGGCCCTGATGTGGACAGATGGTTGCTGATGTAGCTGGTTGGGGAGATGTCAGGATAGACGAGGTAACCAGAGAAGGCGATGTAAGGGCCAGCGTTGCTGTACAAAGCATATTGAGGACTCCGCTGCAAAAGCAGCCACACTGTGTCCATTTCCTTTAAACTGATCATAACACTTTGGCTTTGAATTTTCCTTCCTTTCTTGCGGTAGTCGTCATATGCTATGGCCTGCACCTCCTCTCCGTTCTTCGCCAGTATCACAGAAAGCATTTTCTTTGGGAATTTCCCCACAGAGAAGGAGAAGTAGTAAGCCCCGGGGACGCGACAGCGGAATTGCCCAGTGTCTGGGTTAAAATCCCCTCCAATGTTGACCATGAGCCTGTTGAAGGTCACCGCCTTCTGCTTGCCTCCCTCCATGCTGCTGGTTCGTGTGGCAGAGAAAGCAGAACTCTGACTTGAAGTCACCGGAGGGCCGTGAAGAGAGGAAGCTGGTCCAGAGCAGGAGATCATGATCAGTATACATGCCAGGTAGCAGTGTGTGCTCCTCTGAGCTAAAAAAGAAAGGGAAATAAAAATTATTACATTTACAAGTGGTAAACATACATTTCTGAAACTATGTGCAAGTTAGATATTTGAGATGTCTTTGCTTTACAAATTAAAAGTCCAGTCTTGTAGCTTGAGATCTGGTGGTCAGGGACCCTCAGGGCTTACAAAATACATCTGAGGAGGGTCACCAGATAATAAAAGGTGTATTTCAAAATGTTTAGATAAATGTTCATTCGCTTTCTTGCAGAGATTAAGAAGACTATCATTTTCAATTTAATTTCAAACCTTTCATCATCATCATGTTTGTCCATTCAATAAAAAAATACAGGCAGAAGACATTATCTTGTTTAGCTTAGCACAACAACTGGAAACAGGGGAAAATAGCTAGCCTGGCTCTGTCCAATGTAAGGCAAAATATGATATATTCAGATAGAGAAGGGAAAACCGGTTTAGTTTAACTGCTCATATCTAATATCCTGTGAAGTGTTGTTTCAATGTAAAAAAATACCTCTTTTGAGTCTTCAAACCAAGCTTAGCAATAATGCCTCTATATGAAATACTCCAAATTGATAAGGAAGTCTGGTTACGCCCTGTCGAGATTGATTTTGTGACTCAAATCAGGCGCTCTGTGGGAGCAGCAGCCCCTGTAATGTGGCTGATATTGTCTGTTCTCTCTGTGCACTGAGAGAAGGGACTAGATTAGGTGCTGGTTCATCTGTTCCTGTGTCTGTTGAACAATGGAAAACTTTGGAGGGCTGGTGAGGTGGGGCAGGGCAGAATGCTAAAAGATACCACTTAGATAAGTTGCAGATATTCTGTTATTATAAATTAAAAACTTGTGATTATTTTTTAGGGACTTGTTTACACTACTGAAATGCTGCCTTTTTAACCATTACATACATTGGAGAGCATTACGTATTCAGGTTCCAATAAAAAATGATTATCTCTATTTAAAAAATGACTATTATTAATATGTCATTTATAATTCCTGCATACACGTAATGAAATAGAAGAATTTGAAATCACACTACCATAGATTGATCTGACAAGCTTCTATGATCACACTCACACTGACCACCTCACCTGCAAAGCAACAAACATACGTTTAAGTAGTAATGATTTGATTTGACCTGCACATTTTTCAAAACACTAATGATATTTAGCTCTAAATTGTGGTGCAAAATCAAAATCACATTTACAAAATAAGTGAGCTGGCAAAATATTAGCCTTATAGTAGTCAAAAACCTTCATCTTTTGTCCTCAACTTTTCAAAATAAAGATTTAACATTTGAGAATAATCTGCAGTGTAACATAATGCTTTCTTATTACATAGAAGGCAAATTAGTCGGTATAGCAATATAGTCAAACAAAGCGTGGACACAATGAACAGAAAATGACCTATAGTTATGACCAAAAGTGTGAGGAGACAATTGTAATTTACTATACTTCTACCCAGATAAATAAAAACCATACATACAATTCTTAGCCCACTTACGTGTGTACACATAGACTCCATGCTCTAAAGATGAACTGAAACAAATGTCAAACTCACCTGTTAGGATTTGTTGAGAAAGAAAATGCATGCTGGACTTCGTTTTCTTAGACAGACTTTTAAATAAAGTTCCTCTTAGTTTGCTGCACTGCTAATGAACATATAACAGGCCTAACACCCAGAGGGACAAAGCTTCTGTCCAAACAGACATGTCAGGAGGAGGAGCTCCAGGTCCCCTCCAATCTATAGCTCCCATTCAGCCTGTAGTGCAAAAAAAATGAAAATGCAGCTGTACCTTCAGCCTTATTGGCCGCCTGTGTAAATATTAGGTCTAATTTATACTTGTTTTGTCTAAGAAAGATTGAGGAGCTGTGGGACACAACGTTTGGATTTTCAACAGTCCATTATCTAGACAATTTATATCAAAATAGGTCTTAAAAAGAATAAGATTGAAAAACAATGTCTGTATAATAATGTTTCCAGCCAAGGTAATTTCAGAAAAATAAAGTGTTCTAGAGTTTTAGAACGTACATTCTGCAACTTTAGGAATATCATTACCTGTGAAAAAAATTAATCCTGGTTGGAAAATATTTGTAAAATGGTTGCAACACTACTTTAATGTTGGAAAATGGATTATATGATATTACTGTCTTTGCTGAGAGGTTATGGTGTGCTCTCACGTTAAACTTGTTGTGTTGTAGTGTAGTTCAGTAGTGTGAAGTACCTGGGTCCATTTACTCAAGTAGCCTACTGTTCCTAAGTACAATTTTGAGAGACTTGTACTTTACTTGATTATTAACGTGTTTTGCTTCTTTGTACTTCTACTCCACTACAATTCAGAGGTTTTACTCCACTACATTTATTTTAATACCTTTAGTTACTTTGCAGATTTTGATTAATAATGTGAAATATAAATCAACACTACACCTGGAGTAACATTCACAAGCTATCCTGCAGTATACAAAGTAATTCAAACTAGATGCACCTTTACCAGCTTTAATAAACATGTTAATGCATCAATAATTATAATCAAAACATATCATATATTATTCTGAAATGGGCCTATCTGCATAATAAGTACTTCTACTTTTGGTACTTTAAGTATATTTTGAAGCTAATACTCTTGTACTTTTTTCTTAAGTAACATTTGCAATACAGGATTCTTACTTGTAGCAGAGTATTCATACACTCTGGTACTTATACTTTTACTTAAATACAGGATCTGAGTACTTCTCCCACCTCTGAATACATTCATCACATTAACTGCTGCGTTGCTCCATCATGCCCTGCCATGACGCAGAGAACCCGGAAGACGTGTGTTTGCTGTCAATGCCAGCGACAGAGGACTGAGAGCTGAAACCCCGCATTTAAGACAAGATGGCAGGACTGCCCCGCAGGATCCTTAAGGTAACTATTACACACTTTAAACAGCAGCAAAGGTCCCTTTTCTGTCAGGGTGGAAACTCTACATACACTGTCTGAACTCCCGGTGCTGGTTCACAGTTTTGTTTGCTAACGTTAGCACCTAGCACGCTAAAGCAACTTCCGTTTAATTCCTGTGCCCAGATAGCGAAACACTTTGGGTTTAAAAATACACCAACCTTTTGTGTAAACGGCGCATGGATGTGGTCTGTGTCGGGACCATATCTTCCAAATGTAGTTCTCAGGCACAACAGTGTTCTCTAATAGCCCTTGCTCGGATCGTGGTGCTAACAATGCTAACAGTGCTAGCAACGGCTAGTCTGTAGCTTTGTTTGTGAGTGAATGATAATAAAACAACAGGAACAAGCTAAAGCGACCCTGGTAGCCTGATGATCTCTGTGTCATATTTTTCATACATGAATTTATCTCAGTAGGGATAATCGCCTTTTATAATCTTTATTTTTTGTATTTTCTTTCGCATAGTTTAGCCTTTTCATTAAGTGAAGTTCCTAAGTATGTACCATGTTTTATACATAAATGCGGTTTCCCATCCTTAGTGAGTATTCACATAACAAAGTATTATAGATGAAACGTTTGATACTTGAAGAGAAATCACTTCCACTGCAGACTTTGGCCCTTGACTCCATGTGGCAGCATCAGAAAGTGATGTTGGCCATATCCAAAACGAGCTGCTCAGCATAGGTTTCTAAAAGATACTACTCAATTACTAACCTAATAAAAAATAAAAAGCAATCTCATCATAACTCAAATTTCTCAGAAAATCTGATGTGAAATAATTTGAAGGAATATATTTTCAAGATAGTGAATGGTGATGTTTTTATTTACATTACCAATGAGTTAATTGCAATTAAAACACTGGACTCAAATGTTGAACCTTCAGGTTACAAGCTTCTCTAAAATGTATGCTCCTTTACCCCAATAATACACATAAAAAAAAACAATGTGTAAGATTAACTTGGAACCAAAAATTTGATTCAAATAAATGTAGTCATTCACCCATTTTATCATCTTTATTGTTCTACTCCTGCGTGCCAACACCTAATGATTCCTCTCTAACTATTGGGGTAATGTTATAACGTCTATGTTATGCATTCTTGTATACATTGTCAGTAAACATAGCTACACCTTTTTTATTTTTTATATTTAAAATCCTTTTACTTTCCCTTGAAATGTTTGTGTTCTTTTTGCACTAGTTATTTAATTTAAATAATTAGTTGTTAAGTATTGAGCATTTGTTAAAGTATTTAACACTAATCAAGTATATACTTTAGATATAAGTATACAAAAAATATATTTTACCACACTGAGGATTTATTCATTTTATTACCAGAAAACATGCAATATGGTCAAATATGCTATATCGCCCAGCCGTAACAGGGACATGAATGGTGTTTGAGATCAGGCTGCACAGGTGGGTGAGTCAGAAGGTCACAGACTGGTGTTGGTGGGAAAAGGTGGACGTTTTGGGAACAGTACTTAGTGGACAGAGCCCTTGAGCCCTCGGAGCGTGTGACTGGGACTGGGAGCCCCTCTCGTCTGTGTTTTCACTGCATGGTTTTGTCTGTGGGTTATCTGAAACATTTCAGGAATCTCACTCCCAGTTGCATTCAGGAAAGGAACGGCAAAAACAAGAGTGCCGGCTGTTGGCATGCTTTACTTCATGCTGTTTTCTCATGCATGGATGTTATGTTATTTATTTATTGTTCTGTTGATTTCAGGCATGAACAGAACAGGGGGATTATACGTTTTAAGATTGTGAATGTACATTCAGAAAACAGTTTGGAGAATGGAGACCATAAAACAGTAGCTCAAATCAAACAATCTAAATAGTTCATAGCCTATATATAGTAGCTGCACACCACTGCCATGACGTCCTATTCCTTTGCATTTTTAATACGTTGCTGTTGTCAAATGCATCTATCAGGCGTGTCACTCATGCTGCCTCATGCCTACCACAACAGATATCAGATACCTGCTCCTCTTTCACTGTAGAGGTGTGTTCTTCTGTTAGTCACATGGCTGACACTGAGGATCTTTGCTGCAGTGGTTGTTGGAAATGAAAGTAATGGCCGACTATGGAGCGGTGGCTGAGTCAGTGTCACCTCTAGAAGACAGTTACAGAGTGCACAGAGATTCAGCATTTTGCCTCTACTGCAGGCAACGCCACCCTCCCCCCTGTATTATAGGATAAAAGCCAAGCAGGCAACAGTAAACCTTCCACCTGCCATCTATTGCCATGTCTGGTCTGAGAATAATGGTGACTCACAACTTGTTTGCAACTCTCAGTTGTTGGCAGAAGAATAATTATTTTGAATAAATAATTTTAATAAACAGGTTTTACCTATATGTAATTAAAAATCCTAAGGAGGATTCACCTAATTCTGGGGAAGGTAGTTGTTGGCAATACACTTTCAGCATATTGTTATTCAATAGTTCTTCTGAGAGAAACCATACTTTGGCCAATTGCAGCTTGAGAAAGTGCTAATGTTGGCTGTTCTGCAAATGCAGACTGAATTAATGCTGGAGTATCCTTCAGGAAAAATTCCTTATCCATCAATTGCAAATGCTGCCTATTCTGCTAAGACAAAGCAAAGTTAGACTCTTAATCATCACGAGAGTCTGACAATATAAGAAAATGGAGAGAAAATATTTAGAGCCCTACATCAAAGTGTATTATCTCAGATGGCTTCACAGGCCCTGTATTTGGCAAAGTAAACAAGAAAGAAATGTATAAATGTAAAAACAAAAAGGTGATAGTCTTCTAGAGTATCATTGTTGTACTTTGAAATGAATGACTAGTACTCCTACAGGTTACTGCATAAAGTGTCTATGCCTGTGGTTTCCTGGGGAGAGGGGCTGAGTCATTGTTTCTGCTCAGAGTTTGATTTAGCGCCATGATGCCGTCGGCACGGGATTCGCAGAATGTGTCATAATGAGTAATCTCGGTTGAGCTGGTTTGCATAAAATAAAACCAGTTTCCAACAGTGCAGTTATCTGTAATGCTACATGAGACATTCCTATATGTTACAAGCCACAGTTGTATTTGTAGCAGAAATAATGTATTACTTGTCATTAAATGATGAAGTGTCAGCACTCACTGAAGGAGATGCGCTTGAAATGCTACTTCTAAATGTGTACGGTGTGACGGATGCTTTGTGCTGCATCTCTTTTAAAAATCTAACAACTATCAAGGTTTTATTTCCAGTTTCATTTCTTTGTGCACCTACCCTACCTTCACGCTAGGAGTTGCATCCTTCGCTACAATATTTAGCAGTATTGTGGTGATAACGATGCGTTTTGCAGTGCAAGGTTAAATCACTTTTATGTTACTGATAAATATTATTTAGGTTAATGTCTTCCTCTCTCTTTCTGTGCCAGGAAACTCAACGCCTGATTGCAGAGCCTGTCCCAGGCATCCGGGCCGAGCCAGATGAAGGCAACGCCCGCTACTTTCATGTGGTCATCTGTGGACCTCAGGACTCACCTTTTGAGGGGGGCGTTTTTAAGCTGGAGCTCTTTTTACCAGAAGAATATCCCATGGCAGCTCCTAAAGTACGCTTCATGACCAAAATATATCACCCCAATGTTGACAAGTTGGGCAGAATCTGTCTAGACATTTTGAAAGGTAAGTCAACACTCTGTGATGTAACAGTTTATGCTTGGCTAGCTGTGTGTGGTTTACATTGTCCCTGTTCTTTCTGTTGAGTCAGGCTTGTTACTGTAGAAACAGCGCTGTACGTTCTCTGTCCTCTGATGTTCCCCTGTGAATGAAGTGAGGGATTTGTCAATTTTATCTTGCTCAAAAGATCAAGGGCCTCTTATGTTACACTTGTGACCCCTGACTGAAGCTTTTCGCCAATACTACTGCACCGTCTCTTCACTCCTGCAGCTTTTAAAAAAAAAAAAAAAAAAAGATCATCCCTCTGCTTTTCCTGGCCTCAATTAGACTTTTATTAATCCCTGTTCTTTTATTTTTCAGATAAATGGTCACCGGCTCTGCAGATTCGCACAGTGCTGCTATCAATCCAGGCATTACTAAGTGCACCCAACCCTGATGATCCCCTCGCAAATGACGTTGCAGAGAAGTGGAAGTCCAATGAAGTTGAAGCCATAGAAACAGGTGAGGGCTCTCATCTGGCTGTGTTCAACAAAAGGTTTTAAATACATTGTTCTAACATTGAGTAATGAACCATATTTGTTACCTGAGGTCATTGCTGGTTATTTCAGTAATGGCAACCATAAATTCTAAAATTGAATTTGCAAGCAGGAATGAGGCAACCTGGTTGATCTCCCCCAATTTATTGTTGACAAATATATATAATTACATTTTGTGATCATTTTTGTTTAATTTGGAGGGATGAGGGATTTTGTAAATGTGTCTTAATGCAGGCTTTGAACAAACCACTTTGGTAAAATGAACGTCATTCATATTGTTTTTGTTTTCTTACTCTTTCCAGCCAAGTCATGGACCAGACTTTATGCTGGAAGCAGAAACGAGGTGTAGAGCAGCCCTACAAGTGGAAATCAAGTGTGAACACAACTCCTCATGTTCTGCCTCCTCCTACTTCAATTACATTTAAAGGACACAGTCTTAAATATATATAAACATATATATATATATATTCTAAAATAAACGTGAATATATTGTAAAGGAAAAAAACTCCTGCTGACAATTGGTGATTTAAATGCATACTAGTAATGAAATTACTCGTCTTTGTCCGTACTTACTACTGTTCAAATGCATGAGCTGAGATCTACTCACCTGGCTTTCTTTGTCCATTGACTTTAGAAAGCTTTCGCCAACTGCTGCTCTGACAAGCATGTTGAGGGGGGGAAAGGGTGTATTTGTGGGGGGTGGGTTTTGGGGGCCCTGGAGTAGTGGAATGGGCGGAGATTGACTAGATGTGGTTAACATTGTATAATCTTAACATTTATTTTAACTTTATTTCCTTGTGTCGCTGCTTTTTTTCTCTCCAAGCAGCTAACTAGCCCACTGTATGTAGACCCTCAGCTGGAGGCCATCCAGAGTTGTGTGCTGTGTAGATGGCCCAACTGGACACATAATCTATCGTAGCCGTGCTTCTTCACATTTGGCTGCATTGAAAACAAAATGTTATGACTAAAACCCAAACTGAGCCTGCTACTGTCACATTAACTGTTTCAACCACTCTCAATGTAAACTGTAGGCTTGTTGATGGCGTGGGAGAGTGAGGAGGGCGGAGAGGACATTGTGGATCTTTCCTTAGTTTTAGCACATATGTTTTATTACCATATCAAGTCTTTTATATATGTGAATCTTTCTTACTATTGCCATACTAAGTACTCTGCTTTCTCTCTGTATGTCCTCTCAGTTTAATGCTATAAGACTCAGTGGTTTACTTGGCATTTATTTCACAAAGCGGCGGTTACATTTGAGCTGTTAGTTGTTTGATGACCTGGTGGTGGACAGGGTGTGGTTGGTGGGTGAGGAGATGCTGGGCTGTTACGGGATCAAACTCCAAACATCATGAAGGCTTTCACTCAATTGTTTTGACTGTTTTTTGGCCTTAAAAGTCTGTATTTAATTTTACTGTTTGTAAATTCATTCTTTCTATCAATCTGGGAAGGAAGTGTTTTCCTGCTCTCAGAACGCTATGAAACAGTCCATCTGCATACCTTTATGTTCTGTAAATAAAATCTGTTGATTAATAAATGGTTGCCTGGGTGAAGTTGTTTATGGTGCACAATCATGTCCTTTATTTTACACCTTTATTACTTTTTACTGTAGGCCTACGTGGATTTTGTATCCTCACTTATTCCCATCATAGTTCAACTCGACTTGAGATCTTATCATCCTCAATACGTGAAAACACATTTTGGGGTCTGCAGGACTGTTTGAAAAATGAGAGTACAAAAATAGTTGTTAAATAAATGTAGTAGACTAGAATTAGAATTTCCTTCATAAATATTGTGAAATAGGATAATAAAAGCAGCAAAACTAATTTATTACATCACTTGATTTATATTGTAAATTCCAATCACTGAAGTGTTTAGGTATACTTATTTAGACTGTACATGGGAGGCTCTGAAAAAGGGAAATAAATGAAGAATATCTCTTAGTTGATTTACAACTGAAAAAGCTTTAATACTATTCGGAACAATTTAGGCTGCTTATTTT